CCCTCCCATCTGGGTGGGGGGCTGGATCCTGCTCAGTTCCCTCAGAGCATCAGGACAGGTCTCCCTTCCTGGGGAGATGTGGGCGGGCCACTGAGCAGGGGAAGCAAGAGGTGGTCCCCATGCTGTCTCAGCTGGTGGGCCCCGATCACACAGAGCCCAAGGCCGCATGAGATGCTGGAACCAACCCGAGAGCCTGCCCTTGGAAGTGATGCTTCTACCTGGCCTTTGTGGGGGAAAGTCTTGGACTAAACTATCTTCAGGACAGTTTAGCTCGTGGGCCCCCTCCCTCCAGTCCACCTGCTGGGTCCCCAAAGAAACAGAACTGATGGCAAACACCCTGGGAGCAACCTTGGTATCTGCCGCTGCTGACCAGCATGGGGCCGGACTGGTGGTGGTCCCGATGTGACAGCCAGAGCAGGTGTATAGGGCTCGGTGCTCGGACGAAGCCAGCGTTTTGAATTCCAGGGCCACTGCTCACCGGGCCACCGCCTCGCGGGGCAGGGGGGCCTGATCCTTGAGTCATGGGCTTCTCTCCCAACCACAGCAGAGCTCTCGGGCCAAGGACACCTGGCCACCGCCCTGGTCATTGCCATGTCCACCATCTTCACCATGGCCGTCGCCATCGTCCTCATCATCATGTTCTACATCCTGAAGGCCAGGCCATCCGCCCCAGGTACCACCTCGCCCCCCACACCCCTCACCAGCCCCCTCCCCCTGACGCCAGCCGGCCACTCATGCCCCCTGTCCCCTCAGCCTGCTGCCCCAGCACCCCCGTGAAGAGCCCAGAAGCCCCCGTGAGCGAGGAAGAGGAGAAGAAAGAGGCACAAGGTGGGCAGCAGCCCCTGGAGCCCACAGTAGGAGGTGGGGGGCTGGAGCATGTCCCCCTCCCACCCCTAAGGAGGCCGGGCCCTGACGCCCCCTCCCCCTCCCACCCCCTCAGACAACGTGGTGATCTTCTCCGAGAAGGATGAATTCGAGAAGCTCACGGCGGCTCCAGCCAAATCGGCTAAGAGGTGGGTCAGGGAGACAGCCCAGCCGAAGCGGGGGTGGTCTTTGGGGTCTGAGCAGGAAGGGGAGCTGGGCCTGTGGGGGCCACAGGGTGGGGGCGGTGGTCCAGGGTTCTCAGCGCACGCGCCTGCCTGCTCTCCCCTGGGACCTGAAACCGCTGGCTGTTGGCTCCATGTCTCGGCCCTCCAGCGGGCACTGGGTGGGGCTTGGTCTCTGTCAGCCAGTCACCAGCACATACAGTCCTTTGTTCTTAAATAAGTCTTCAGCCAAACCACAGGAAGCGAGTGGAGTGCCTATAAAGTTGTTTATCATCTGTGTGGAATGATTTTGGGGGGATGACTAGGGCCATGGCCCCGGGCGAGGGACAGGGTGTGACTGGAGCCCACCTCCTGTGGGGTATCCCGAAGGCCCCCTCCTCCCCAAAGGGGGTCCCCATCACTCTGGGCGTCTGCATCCTGAACCCCACTCCTCCTCAAAGGGCGTCCCCGTCACTCTGGGCATCTGCCAGACCTGGTGCTGCTGGAAGCCCGTCTGCTCGGTGCAGATTTGGGCCCGCAGAGCGGCGTCTCTCCACCTTGCAGTCTGTGCCCGAGCCTCTAGGGAAAGCAGGGACAGGTCTCAGCGCCCACGGTCCCCACCCCTGGGGCAGCAGGCCAGGCTGGCTGGCACGGCACCTGTAACTGTGGTCCTGTCTCTGCAGCGAGAATGACGCCTCATCAGAGAAGGAGCAGCTGCTGAACCGGAGCCTGGACAGTGACGAGGAGCCGGCCCCAGATGGGCAGGGCCCCCCGGAGCTGTGCCTGCTGTCACTGGTCCACCTGGCCAGGGACAAGTCAGCCACTGCCACCCGGGCGGCCGGGGTAAGGCCCACGCCCGACTCTTCCACAAACGCCACCTTCTGCTGAATGCGCTCTGCCAGAGCTGGGGGTTTCTCCCTTGGGCCTCAGCAGAAGACAGGTTCAGAATCTAAGACTGAAGACAGGGAAGTTAGTTCTCTTGTCATACAGCTTAAGAGAAGAAATGAAGAAATAGTCAAGAGAAAAAAGGTTAAATTGCTGGGAACAGCACGGGACAGCAGAATCCCTTGTAAATGTACTGGAATAGGTCCAACCAGAAAAGACGCTCATGTGGGCACATGTGTGCATGCACACACACACACACACACACACACACACACACACACAAGCCTGCTGCCCAAAGGCTGGGCGTGCACCGCGTGGGGGCCAAGATGTACCATGGGGGGGTCACTGTCCCCACCTGGGCCTGTTAGCTCTGCTCCTGGCATCACTGCTCACAGTGAAGGTGCCCAGTTGGAATTGCAGTGGTCGGGTCTTGACAGCAATGTGCCCTGGTGCCCAGTTCACTGACCGCTGGGGGTGGGGGCTGTGAAGTTGTCCAAAGAGGGTGGCTCCAAGGGGCCTTGTGCACCCGCCCCCCCTACCCCCACCCCAGGCCCCCAGCTGCCCGCCCTGCAGGGAGAGCACGGCATTGCTCTGTGGCTGCGGAAACCCCACCCCCACCCCCTGCTGAGCTGGGTTGGAGGGTCCGTCCTTCTGGAGAGACTGAAGCCGGTGAGGCCGGATGTGGCCTCTGGTTGTCTGTGAGTCTGAATGTCCAGTGGAGCGGAGAAGCCCCATGGACACTGAGGGCCCTCAGCCGGGTGACCCCAGGGAGGGCTTTCTTCTGTGAATGTGACAGACGTTCTGGCGAGGATGTGGTTCAGCATTTCTGACACGGAATCAGGAAGGGGCCCCGCTGACATGGAGATGGAAGATGTGGGCCAGTGCTGCTGACACCCCCTTTCTGAAAATTCATACTCTCTTAGCTTTTTCTGGGCTTCCCTGGTAGCTCAGTTGGTAGAGAATCTGCTTGCAATGCAGGAGACCCTGGTTCAATTCCTGGGTTGGAAAGATCTGCTGGAGAAGGGATAGGCTACCCACTCCAGAATTCTTGGGCTTCCCTGGTGGCTTAGATGGTAAAGAATCCGCCTGCAAAGCAGGAGACCTGGCTTCAATCCCTGGGGTGGGAAGATCCCCTGGAGGAAAGCATGGCAACCCACTCCAGAATTCTGGCCATGGACAGAGGAGCCTGACGGGCTACAGTCAATGGGGCCACAAAGAGTTGAACATGACTGAGCAACTTTCACTAACTTTTTTCACAGATTCAGAGTCGAAGGAAGAAGATACTGGACGTGTATGCCAGTGTGTGTGGTGTAGTGGAAGGTACGGGGAGGTGTGGGGCCCTGACTCCCCAGGGACCCTCCAGCACTCTGGGCGCCCCAGGAGAGGCTGAGAAGAACCCCCTCCCAAGTTGCTCATCACAGTGGGGGTTGCGGGGGGCAGGCCAATGGAGGTGTGGGGGGACGTGTGTTTCAGTTTCTCTCTGCTGTTCAGGTGGGTGATGTCTGTTCTGCCATCCAGCTCACTAACTCATCCCTCTTCATTCCGCCATGGAGCTCATCAACTGAGCTTTAATCTCGACTGTTACCTTTTTCAGTTCCAACATTTCCATTTGGTTCTCCTTTATATTTTCTATCTTTTGTTAAGGTTTTCTTTTTTCTTTTTCATTTGTTTCAAGTGTGTTTGTAATTACATGCGGAAGCACTTTGATCACGACTTCTTTACAGTCCTTGTCAGATAACCTAACATCTCTGTTATCCTTGTCGGCATTTACTGATGGTCCTTTTTCATGCGTTTGAGGTCTTCCTGGTTCTTGGTGTGATGAGTGACTCTCTTTTGCCAGAACAGTTTCACGTGACTCTCTGAGACTCGGGGTCTCAACTGCACCCTCTGCGCGGCTGGTTTCCTCTGACACACCTGGGCTGAGGGGTGTGCCCCCGTCACCCCCAGGCAGCTGTGGATCTTTGAGCCCAACCTGTGCAGGGGTGTGGGTGGACATCCGCTGCTCCGAGTGGTCTCTACCAACACCGTGGTGGCGGGGAAGCCTGTGACCAGCTGCCGGATGAGGAGGAAGCCAGGGTCCCTGCCTGGCCTCCGGGGGTGGACCTAGGCTCCCATCCCACTTTGCTGGCATTGGAGGGAGTGGCACCAGGGTTGTCCTATGGCATTTTGCTGTATGAAGGCAGATACTGTCTGTTTTCTTCTTGGGAGGAGAGCATTCCACCTGTGCTGGTGGGTTGTCAGCTGTACTTAGCAGGAGGAAGAGGGGAGAGCGTGGAGTGAAACACTTCCTGGTTGAGTCTAACATATAGCGGGGTCCAAGGACTGCTAGGGCAATGGCTCAGGTGACCCAGGCAGGGCTGTCCTCGGAGCACCTTTTAAGAATGACTTTGGTCCCCTAAAGGGACCTGATACTGGGAGGGTCACCTGAATAAGCTGGCCACGTCCAGTGGAGCTGCTGGGGTTGGGGGAACAGACAGGCTTCGAGTGTGGCTGGCAGTGTCCCAGGAGTTGTTCGCCTGAGGCATGCATTCTGTGTGGTTTTCTGCATTTGTGTTATATTTTACGATTTTAAAAAAGGTTCTAGAAATCCTGTTCTAGGGTGTCACGCTTCTGCTGACGTCTGACATGGCCCTTTGTCCCTCAGGCCTCAGCCCCACAGAGCTGCCCTTTGACTGCTTGGAGAAGACCAGCCGGATGCTCAGTGCCACGTACAACTCGGAGAAGGCGGTGGTGAAGACGTGGCGCCACCTGGCCGAGAGCTTTGGGCTCAAGCGGGATGAGATCGGTGGCATGACGGACGGGCTGCAGCTGTTCGACCGCATCAGTACGGCTGGCTACAGCATCCCCGAGCTGCTCACCAAGCTGGTGCAGATTGAGCGGCTGGATGCCGTAGAGTCCCTGTGTGCAGACATCCTGGAGTGGGCGGGGGTCCCGCCGCCTGCTGCCCCGCCACCCCCCGCATCCTGAGCAGGGCCGAAGTTCCCAAGGCCAGGCTGTCTCCTCTGCACACCAGGGGTACCTCACTGGTCCGAGGAACAGGAGGACACAGGCCTGTCTCCCAGTCTAACCAGACAGAAGATCCGTGTGAACATGAGGTTGCGCTGGCCTCACCAGGCACAATGGGTCGGTGTGCATTTATCTGGCCCACCCCGACGTGCTCCTCCACGGACGCGGTTGGCACCGCCCGGCGTGCACCAGCGGTGCCTGGAGGACATAGTGAAGCCTGTCTGTCCTGTGGGGAGTTCACTGCCCCAGGAGACTTACTCTTCTGGAAGATGTCACACAGCCCAAGGGGATGTGGGAATGGGGGCACAGTTTGGGGGAGCTGCTTCCCCGGGGGGTGGGGTGGGGGCACCCCATGAAGAACGCAGCTCTGAGGTTGGGAAAAGTCTGCAGAGGCACCATGTCCTCCTGCTCCAGGCTCAGTGTGGGTCTGCACCGCCTGCGGGACCCTGGGCTCACTGTCCCCGCGGCCCTTCTGCCTGCAGGATGCCTGCCCCCCACGGATGTCCAATCAAGGGCAGCCTCCTGGCTTCACTCACTGCTGCACAAGTCCAGCCTCAGGACCCGGGGTCCCTGAACTGCCTCTGCTTTCTTTCTCAAGCGGACTGGACCCCCTGGGGCAGTAGTGCTCAGGGACACAAGTCATTTGCTTCAAACAGAAATGAGTGGTTGGCTCTGCTTGGAAAGGGAAACATGGAATCCTCAGGCTCCAGAGGGCCTTGGACAGGGATGTGCCTCGTGGGCCTCCCAAGCCCCTCAGGGAACGTGGGGTCTGTAGCCAGGTGGACCTGGTCTGCTTGTGCTAACAGGGGCCGATTTCTTCCCTTCCCAGGGCTCAGTTTGTTTCTCTTCTGCAAATAAGAGGTTATTCTGTGATTCTAAGTCAGAGAGAGTAAAGTTGGGGCGAGCAGACCTGAAGGGGGTCTGGAGACCATGCCAGGCCTTCCACGGATGTGAGTGTACTGTGAACCGTCCGGGGAAACGGGAATGAAAACAGAACTGAGTTCTCACTGTAACTTCAAGTGTCTGGCAGACACTGAGAGAGGAGCTTAACAGCTTTGTTCTGGCAAATTCCCTGAGGACATCTGCTGTGGCCAGAGCCAGGAACCAGGGGTGATCATGCAGGTTGAGGGTGGTTAACTGTGAATTTTCTGCTCAGCCCCCAGGGACACACCTGGCCCTGGTTATTCCTAAATTGAAACCAGTTTCTGGCTTATACTTTTGTGAAATGACAAGTCCCATGACTGACAAATGCTTCTGGGGAGGAAACCAGGTGTATGCGGAGGGCAACACACAGCCTCCCACCCGTGAATGGAGAACATGCCGGCCATTTAACACCACTGTTGTTTGTGGTGTCAGCCTGCTGTGCCCCCGCAGGACACACACACACACAACCTGGTTACCCTCTGTCCCCGTGGCCCCTTGGCACAATCCCGGCTCTGTGATGCTGCTGCTGCTGAAGCCACCTTCTCTGAGGCTGCTGACATCAGAGGAGGCGGAGCGGGCGGCCACAGGGCCAGCGGCACCAGGCCTGTCTCGGGGGCTCAACCCGCCGTGTGCAGGGAGTTCGTCCTGACGGTGATTCAATCCTTTGTCATCTGCTCACCTGGAGACAAACCCAGGCAGGGGTCACTCTGGAGGGCTTGAGCCTACATGACAGGTTCAGACCACTGAGTCTACAGGGACTCTCACCGAGCAAAGCTGGGCTCCCCCTGCTGTCCCGTGTGGCCACAGCCACTGTTCCTGCTGAAATAAACACACTCAGAAAATACCCCGGCCAGAGCTGTGGGCCCTGGCCAGTGGAACCTTCATTGTCAGTGTTTGTGTCTAGGTCTGTTTATATAACTTATTATGTTTTACAATTTCAATAAACTAATAACAAGAAGACCCCCAGCTTCCAGGGATCGGCTGGGGGAGGTGGCGGGGGCGGGGGGTATGGGTAGGCAGGTCTGTGGCTCTGCTCCTGGCTGTCACCTGTGTGTGATGTGCTATGGGAGTCCCATCTGAGGCCAGCGGGGGTCCCAGCTGGCTTTGTCCCCCCTGACAAGGGCTGCCTGCCTGTAGTGGGAGCCAAGGGGTTGGAGCAGGAGCCCGGGCGGGCACTGCTGCTCCAGTGGTCACCATCCAGCCAGGCTACCCAGCTCTTCCCTGACTTGGGGAAGTGAAAGTCATTCAGTCATGTATGACTCTTTGCAACCCCATGGACTGTAGCCTGCCAGGCTCCTCTGCCCATGAATTCTCCAGGCAAGAATACTGGAGTATTCTCTAGTTCCCTTCTCTAGGGGATCTTCATGACCCAGGGATTGACTTCTTTACTGTCTGAACCATCAGGGAAGCCCTAACTCATGGAAGACCAGCCATAGAGACAGCGGGACAGGAGGAGGCCTGAGAAGGGGACAGAGGGGGCGCCTGTGGACACCACAGGGCGGGGGACCACGCGAGGACCGGAGGGGCTCAGGGAGTTCTGTGATGACACAGCCGAGGGTCCACGGCGGGGCGGCAGTGACAGCAGGTAAAGAGCAGAGGGGCAAACACAGCTTTTGAGAACTCCTACACGACAGGACCTGTGCCTCGGGGCCACCAGCAAGAAGACAGCCTGCCCTGGCAGTCTCCCTGGTGTCTTAAGATCGCAGGGCCTGAGCATGGCCAGCAGATGCCTGGGGCAGCCACCTGCCTCCCATCCTTTCTGCTGCCCAGGGTCCTCCCACCTGGAATCTCCTCAAGAGTCCTGTGCTGGGTCACCATGACTCTCGCCCCCATATTCAAACACAACCTTTTGTGTGGTCACGACACACACACACCCTGTGTCCCGAACCTGAAAACGGCAACCCAGAAGCTGTCAGCACAGGCTCACCTTCTAGATGAATAAACTGTGACTCAGAAGGGCTGTGTTCAGGGTCGCAGCAATTTCCAGCCCACCTGCCGCTTCCACAGCCAAGAGGCTGGCAGGGCCATCCAGACACACCAGCTTCACCAGCATCCTGGCGGGTCGTCCACACACACCAGCCTCACCAGCATCCTGGCAGGGAAGCAGTCACACTTAGAAGGACCAGAGGCACTTCCACACCCTCCAGGGCTCCCCAGGGCAGTTAATTCAGACTCGGTGGCAGTGGGGAGGGAAAGGACTCTTTAAAGCCCACCCTGGTGACTGCGATGTGCAGCCCAGACCGAAAGCTCACTGCTTTAGATGAGGGACTGGGAAGTGGGACACAAAGGGTCACCCACCCTCAGCTCAGTTGTGGAGTCACTGAAGGTCAGACCATGGTGGGGGCACACCTGTGTGTTCCTACACACGCTCCCTGTGCATCTACATATGTGTAAAATTTTAAACATGAACAAAAATACTTTCAAACAGCAGCAGGACATTAAAAATAGAAACGGGAGTTCTGTTTTCTTTCTGCATCACCTTGTGTTCCCCATACCGCAACACCCCTTAGACGCGCACCCTCATGGGAAAGTGTTTTAGCCACATTGAACACGGCTCTTCAGAGTTGAGTCTCACTCACTTGTTTACCATTTTCTTTGTTATTTCATCTTGCCTTTTAGACTTTCTGAAATCATTTGCTTCCTCCTGAAGTATGTCCTTTAGAGGTTTAGGTGGAGCTTGGTGGTGGTAAATGTTTGGTTTGTCTGAAATGTCCTGGGAAAGGTGATGATAAGGACGCCTCGCAGATGGCTGTGGGGAGTCACCCACCTGTGCTGCCCTTTCAGCTGACCTGTCTTCTCTCTTGGCTGCATGTAAGCGTCTGCTGGTCTTTGGTGTCCTTCCGTTTCTTCCAGTTTGATGTTTCTAAGGAGCGATCTCTTTGCACCTGTCTTGCTTCTAGTTCATTTCACTTCTTGAACTGGAGAGTTGTGCTTTCCATCCTTCTCGTTTTATCCCCAGCCATGGTTTTCTCAGACCTCTCTGTGGCATTTTCTCCTGCTGGAGCACATTTACACGTGTGTTAGATCCTTTCATGCTTCATCCTCCACGCAAGAGTCTTCTAGGTTTTTCTTGCTTTCTTACAGGCATTCTGCATAATTACTATGACCAATTCTCCTTTTAATCTTATCTGTTGTCTGATTTCAATAGTTACATTTTCATTTCTGTAAGTTACTTTTTGAAAACTTTACAGTCCATTTTGTTAGTCTCTTGTCTCTTCATAGTACCTCTAGCCATCTTGTTTCTTTGAACCTAGCTAACATGGCTTATATTCCACTTTGGTATCTCAGCTGCTCTCTTCAACAGTCCAGTGTCACTGAGGTAGGGTCCCACATGCCCTCTGAAGACTTGTTGTTTAGTCACTAAGTCATGTCCGACTCTTTGTGATCCCACAGACTGTGGCCTGGCAGGCTTCTCTGTCCACGGGAGGATAGAGGAGGCAAGAATACTGGAGTAGGTTGCTCTTCCTCCTCCAGGGGATCTTCCCTAGCCAGGGATCAAACTGCGTCTTCGCATTGGCGGTTGACTCTATAGCACTGAGCCACCTGGGAAGAAACCTGCAGATGGTCTCACCACCTGTGTTGCCTTCAGAGGTCCCAGTTCTGCACAGGTCATGTTTAACCCACCACCCTGACGGCCCCTCTTCTCTTCCCTCCAGGTCAGGGCCCTGGGCCCCAGGACTTTGTGACCCACCTGTCAGTTCTGGCTCCAGGGGGTCTTGGACATGGCCACCAGCTGGGGGCGTGTACGTGTCCCCGATTGTCCCCGACATTCTTAGCTGCATGGCAACCTGCAGGATGGAGTCAGTCCCTCCCACTGGAATCAAACTCTCTACTTACTCCTTATTCCAGCAGGTGTGGAGAGGCTGGAGGAGCAGATGTGAGCCCCAACCAGATCCGGGTTGACCCCCAGCATTGCAAGCTCGCCCTCTCCTCTTGGAGGGTCACCGTGTGAGCAGCTGTGGCCGGGTGCTGGGCCGTGTCTCTTCCAGCCTGAGAGAGGTCAACAAGGACAAGACCCAGCGTGAGGGTCTGATGAGGATCAAACCACAGAACAGATAAGAACTCAGCTGAGTGCTGACAAACAGGAGAAGCTTCCTTCTCTAATCCGGCCTGTTTATTGGTCCAGATGAGTTAGGATGACTTCCCCGTGTTCTAAAGGGAATTCAGATTGGCATCAGTTTTGGATGAAGCATGTGAAGTACTTGGGGAGACAAGACCCCGACACAGCAGAGTCCCACCGGGAACTCAGGGTCTGTTTCATTGGGTCTTCCTCCACGTCCCCCTGGCCAAGCCTGGGCAGTCGCTCATCAGGTTCTGAACCTTCCTTGGTATGTGATTCCTGTTTGCCATGTAAACCGTTAACTTATTACTAACACTGAAGTGATTAATTTCTAGTTAATTAATTTCTAGTTAGTGATTGTGGGAGTATGTAGAAACTCTGAATGTGTGTGATTATCTTGCAGCCGGGCACCCTGCTGAGCTTCTAAAAGAACCCCACAGCCCCCAGGTGGGCCCGTCACCTGCACCTCCCTCCCCAGTTATGCTTCCTGAAACACCGGCTGTGTGTCACAGGATGGGTGGGTGGGCTGTTTCAGTCCCAACTTTAATAGGCACATATCCAGTGTCTCATAGTACTCACTGATTTCATAGCCTTTTAAACATATTATAGCTTTATCAGGAATGCAAGTTGAATTATATTTTAGGCATTTATTGAGTGTATGGTTTTCTATCCTTGCTTGGCAAATATAATAAAGTATGTAATTTTTACCACAAAGCCAATCTGATATTTCTAGAATGCATGCTTCCCCAGCTGGTGAAGGATTAATGTTCCTGTAATATACAGTTGGTGTTGTTCTTATTTCTTTGAGATTTTTGAAACATACTTTTTTGGACAATTTTTGGTCCTGGGCTCATGCTGTGTGAAATGAATTAGAATTTTTTTTCTACCTTCTGGGCCAGTTTAATTAGTTTTAAATATTTTCTCTTTGAAATGTTTAAACAATTCACCTACAAAACACCTGAAATTAATGTCATTTAAAAATTTTTCACACTTACAAAAGACTTAAATGATTTTCTATTGAAGATTTCTTGAGACAATTCTGAGAGTTTGTCTTTTTCTAGAAAATGGTCCATTTCATCCAGATTTTCAAATTTATCAGCGTAGAGCAATTAGTTTATTTGTATTTATATTTTAAAAACCTTTTTTATCCTAAATATTTTTGTTCATGTTCCTGGCTTTCTATGTTTTTCCATGTCTATATATGCATTTTGGAGAAGGCAATGGCACCCCACTCCAGTACTCTTGCCTGGAAAATCCTATGGATGGAGGAGCCTGGTAGGCTGCAGTCCATGGGGTCGTTGAGAGTTGAACATGACTGAGAGACTTCACTTTCATGCATCGGAGAAGGAAATGGCAACCCAATCCAGTGTTCTTGCCTGGAGAATCCCAGGGACGGGGGAGCCTGGTGGGACTGCCGTCTATGGGGTCAAACAGAGTCGGACTCGACTGAAGTGACTTAGCAGTAGCATATATGCATTTTAGTTTTCAGTTAAAAGCAATCTCTTCTGCTTTTAACACTTACTCTGACATTTTCCAAAAGCATTGTAGACTTCTTCATTCTCGTCAAGGTGAAAGTTGCTCAGTCGTTGTCTGACTCTGCGACCCTAGTGGACTATATAGTCCATGGAATTCTCCAGGCCAGAATTCTGGAGAGGGTAGCCTTTCCCTCCTCCAGGATATCTTCCCAACCCAGGTTTCCCACACTGCAATAGATTTTTTACCAGCTGAGCTACAAGGGAAGTTCAGGAACACTGGAGTGGGTAGCCTAACCCTTCTCGAGTGGATCTTCCCGACCCAGGAATTGAACCAGGGTCTCCTGCATTGCAGGCGGATTCTTTACCCACTGAGCTATTAGGGAAGCCCTCTTTTGTCAAAGTTACCACTGAAATTGAATGTTCAACTCCATCTTTGATGAAGACTCATGAAGGGCCCTTCACTCGCCTCACCCTCCCCACCTTGACCCCAGGCCCCACAGTTGCTGCTCCTGATGCTGGCTAGTCGCATCTCATGCACACACTCTCAACCACTGCTCTCCCTGTTGTTTACCCTTCCAAGAAATTTAACATTTCCCTCCATTTTATACACAAACTACAATGATTTAAACCTACCTATGTTTAAGTGGTTTCAGTGTTCACTGCAGTCTTTTGGTATGCTGCTGATTCTGTAAACTCAATCCTACATTGGTTAGAATAATCTGTGCAGTTTCTCTTCTCAGGAACAGTGGGTAAGTGGTGTTAACTTCTGAACACCTACAAATCTGAAAACGTTTTTCCACTGTCTTCACTGACAACAGGCATGTCCACCAGGCATAAACCCTCAGATCAGAGATCCCACCCCCCAGAGCCAGAGGGGTGGCTCCCTATCAACCTCCGGCAAGTCTCTTCTCCTGAAGGCAGGGGTTTCTGTCTGCCTTCCCCCCTCCATCAACAATGTGTATGCACATAGCCCCCTCCTCATGGTCTCCCCGGTGGGGACAGGTGCCTTCCATCTCCACTCGGCTGTGGCCCAGAACTTGGCCCCTTCAGAAGTGCCAGCCCCACGCTGTCTGCCTGCCCCCAGCACTGACGCCACCTCCTGTACCATCGACTCCACCTCCTGTCGCATTGACGAAGGATGCTCATTTTTGCTTCTGCATTTTCAGGTTCCTATAAAGCCTCCACATCACCTTAGCCTGCTCTCTGTATGGATTTCTGCTTCACAAACTGCACAGCTTCTTATATTCTCTTGAAAAGGCCCAGGTCTCTAGATCCCAGGATTAGAGTTATGCTAAGGAATATAATTTCTGATTTCCTCTGTGCGTCCACCCTCTGTCCCATGCCCCGAATGCCAGCTCACCCTGGCCATACCCCTCCCCTCTGATGGCAGCGAGGTCCCCGGTGCTGGGCACATGGCAGCTCAGATGTATGTGCTTCTACTTATGGAAGGCGAGGCTCTTCACGTGTTAAGAAAATAGAACAATATGATCTAACTGTGCTCCCACACAAACACCAATTTTATTCCAAATAATCACATAATTTTAAGAATTTTCCCAAAACAATTTTACAAAGAGTAGCCCCAGTGTCATTTGCCCTGAAAGTTCCATTGTGTACATGAGTACCACCTGAGCCAAATGGAAAAAGTCCAAACTTGCTGCAGCTTCCATGGGTTTCATTTTAAGTTTTAAAAAACTTAAAAAAAAAAAAATTAAAAAAAAATTTTTTTTTTCTATTTTTCATGATAAATGATGCTACTCATACGTAACTTTACTCAGTAGACTTTTAGTTACTTTGCTAATTTTTACAATCTGACAAGCAGCAGCACACATGCAGTATCTGTAAATAGTAACGACCAGTCTAAGGGTTTGTGCTGGCGGCCAGGGAGTTGTACTTCGTTAGACCCAAATTGAACAAAGTGGAGTTGAGGTTGATGCAGAGAAAGGCATGCTCCGGGTGTGTCGTCCTCTGTATCTCCTGAAGCATCAGGTGGATTGTGAAGAGTTCAAAGAGCTTCTTATTACTCCTGCAAGAGAGGGAGCACCTTAACGTCATCTCACACTCAAGAACAGTGAGAGAGCCTTACGTGTGAATGGCATCCTGTTTCATACATAGTGGAGGAAATAGGTAACTAGAGGATTCACATGCCGAGACAGACAAGACATGATCTGTGAAACAGACCTAACGTGGGAAAAGTATTCAAGGAGAAAAGAGGACAATTCATCACCCTGGAGCCTACACCATAGTTACTACCAGAGTGGGCTTGCCCTCAGCCAGCCAGAGTCAAGTACTTGACCACCATGTCTCAGGTATGTCAGCTTCTTCCTGGAGCAGACCACTAGCTGACCTCTTGACTTAGCTCCTGGCCACTGTCCTCTGCAGAGCAACCAGTCAGCAACCTCACTTTCAATAAGTTAGACTTGTATCTGGTAACATATTTCTTACTTCCTTGTTCACATCTATTTCCCTCTATGGTAACCTTTATAACCATCCACCTCACATCCAGGGTTCTCCATCTCTGTGGATTTATAGGTTTATGCTAAGGCTGACTTGGGCATCAAGGATTCCCAGCCCCTCATTCAAGCTTTGTTCCAATTCTTTATCTATGCCTGAAATGAACACAAACTACAAAGCTCTGGCCCAGGACACAGCCACATGGGAACTACACTTCCACCAGTTCCAGGAGCGAGAACTCAGAGGAATGAAACACCCCTGGCAGCCTAAGGGCACCACAGAGGGTGAAGGACCACAGGCTTCCTGGAGAACTCACTGATTAGAAATCAAGACAGTCACGGCTAGCCTGTCTGAGAGAAAAGAAGGACAATGAACTGACAAGCCTGAATGATACCAGAGCTAAACTAGCAACTTGTTGAACTGAGGGTGAGGTCACAATGTGACAACAAATAATTTACTACACATCGTGTGTGACACCAGGCAGGATAGGCTGACCTGCAGTCACACAACCACAAGTAACTTCAGGGTGCATTGTGATCACTGAACCACACCAAGAGGTCACGTCATAAAAACACAACACACAGAAGATGTTCAGATTCCCCTCAAAAGAAACACTAGAGTATACGAGATTCAGGGAAAATATAGCTTAAAGTCCATGTCCTTTTTTTTAAAAAATAATTTAAATACCAATGCTTGCATCAGGGAAAGAAGAAATAGAAAAAGAAATCCCTCACTTATGGCAATGAAGTCAAACCAGTGCAGCAGTGCGTTCACAACTGTTTTGTGGCCAGCACCGGTCACAGTCTTTTCTGCCTGCTTCCTTCTCACCCCTGACCCAGTGCATCCACAGTAAGCACCAACAGGACACACCTTCATCTGCCACCTGTGATCACAGTGCGCCAGCCTGCAGGAAGCTGATCCAGGGTTCACTCTGTTGCTAAGTGTGTGGCCTGAGACCAGCATTAACATACCACACACTTGTTGGAAACTCTTGATTCAATAATCACAGTGGAGCCAGTGTAGGAAGCAGAAATCTAAATGATCACAGTGAGCTAGTTTCTGATGAGAAAGGTCAGAAATCAGAGATCCTTACTTGATTTTGGAAAGTTTCTGCAGGATGATACTGAGCTTCTCTAGGACGTGGAGGTCGAGCTTCGGAGCCCGGAGCAGCACGGAGCAGGTCCGGAAGAAGAGCGAGCAGCTGCAGGCCTCCAGAAAGGGCTGCAGGGCACCTGCAAGACAGGTGGTGTCAGGGGCAGTGGGCGGGGGACCAGCACCTGGGGGGGTGCAGTTACCAACCCTGCTGGGTAGGGTTTCCATTCTTTCCACTCTTACACTGTGGGGAAAATACCATCACTGGAAGAATTAAAATATCTACTGGCTCTTGAACAAGCAAACTGAAGGTAATGATGTCACAGAGCTCCACTCTTCAGACGTCAGATTCTTCCATCAAGCAGAATCGAGAATAAAGTCCGTGAGAGGGGGCTGTTTAAACACTGCTTTATGGAGAAGGAAATGGCAACCTACTCCAGTATTCTTGCCTGGAAAAGTCCACGGACAGAGGAGTCTGGCGGGCTGAAGTCCATGGGATTACATGACTGAGCATGTGTGCACGAGGGTGGGAGATGGGTTGGTAGCAATAAAGTGGTAGAACTAAAAAAAAAAAAAACCACTGCTTTAGCAGTATTTAATAAGAAATTCTGTTGGAGTGATAATTTTTAAAAACATCTTAAATTTAAGAATTTACATGTTAATGACAACTTGCATAACCAGTGAATAAGGAAGAACTTTTTAGCATAAAAGCAAAAGTGGGAAAGATTCATAAAAGAAAAGATTGAAGACTTTAATAAAATCTTTTTGAAAAGACTTATGTTTTCTGTAGTCTTCCTTGCTTGAATTTTTTTGAGCAATAAAAGTTCATTTATATTTAATTTTCAAATTGTGGTTAAATATGCATAAGGTAACATGTACCATTGTAACCACTTGGAAAAGCATAGTGTTTGCTAGTGTTAAGTTTTAAGCCAGAGAAAGTGTGGTCTGTACACTGTGGAATATTATTCAACCTTTAAAAAGGTGGAAGCTGACGCCTGCTACCCCACGGATGGGCTTCACGGACGTTATGCTCAGTTTAATAAGACAGACACAGAAGGGCAGATCCCCTGTGACTTCACACATGTGAGGGCCCTCGTGTTGTCAGGTGTAGAGACAGGAGGTAGGAATGGGACACAGAAGCTGGGGGTTAGTGACTCATGGGACAGAGTCAGCTGGGGAAGGTGAGCAGCTCTGGGGTGCATGGGGTGGTGTTTGCACAACGGCAATAGTGTTAACTTTAGCCGCTGTGCAAACACCACCCCATGCAATAGTGTTAACTTTGGCCACTGTGCAAACACCACCCCATGCAATAGTGTTAACTTTGGCTGCTGTGCAAACACCACCCCATGCAACAGTGTTAAGTTTTGTCGTTGTGCAAACACCACCCCATGCACCTCAGAGCTGCTCACCTTCCCCAGCTGACTCTGTCCCATGAGTCACTAACCCCCAGCTTCTGTGTCCCATTCCTACCTCCTGTCTCTACACCTGACAACACGAGGGCCCTCACATGTGTGAAGTCACAGGGGATCTGCCCTTCTGTGTCTGTCTTATTAAACTGAGCATAACGTCCGTGAAGCCCATCCGTGGGGTAGCAGGCGTCAGCTTCCACCTTTTTAAAGGTTGAATAATATTCCACGGTGCACAGACCACACTTTCTCTGGCTGCTTTCAAGATTCTGTTTTTGACAGTCTGACACTTTTAATATCATGTGTCTCCAAGGTGGGGTCTCTCTGGGTTTATCCCAAACTTCACTGAGCTGTGGAATTTGGTGAAATTCTTAGATTTGTAAAAGCACGTCTTTCCTCGCATGTGGTAAGTTTTCAGCCATTTCTTTAAATCACCTTCATGAATTCTCTCAGCCAAATCTCTGGACAAGCACCTGAGACTTCACGGAGCACTGTGAATCTAGCCCTGCCCTGGATTAGATGTCTTCAGGGAGTGCTGTGGCTGGGCTGATCTTCTGTCCAGACACCGAGATTTTCTCCACATCAACAGTAAAGCTGTGTCGCTCTCTTGTCATTTGTGTGTTCGCTAAGCAGCACTTTTAATTTCCTTCAAGAACTTTTCCTTTGCAGTCACAGCTCGGCTAACAGCTGTAGTGGAAGAACTCCAGCTGCAGGCCTGTCTTTGCTTTTGACCCACGTTTCTCACTGACTTTAATCACGTCTAGCTTTCCATTTTAAGTGAGAGAGGAGTACTCTTCCTCTCACATGAACTCTCTTGAGGCCACTGCAGGAGTATTAATTAGCCTAATTTCAATACTGTGTGTCAGGGAGCAGGGAGGCCCGAGGAAAGAGATGGGGGAACTGCAGTCAGTGATGCTGGCAGAACACACACATTATTAAGTTCACGGGCCGCCCCCACCCCCTGTCCCCCACCCCTCCTGCCCCAAACCATGACAAGAGTAACATCAAGACCACTGGTCACAGATCACTGTAACACACACAGTAATAATGAAAATGTTTGAAACACCATGAGAATGACCAAAATGTGACAGAGAGATGTGAAGGGAGCAAATGCTGCTGGAAAAATGGTGCCAGAAGATCTGTTCAGGGCAAGGTTTCCATACACCTTCAGTATGTTTAAAAAAAAATAAAAGTACTTGCAAAAGCACAATTCACAATAGGCTTGTGAATGTACCTATTTTTGGAGAGTAGGACTTTTGGCTTTTTGACCAGTTTCCCAACTTCTATTTCTTTCATAATAAAAATAACTACTTAAAAAAGAAAAACAAGATCTGAAAAACATACTCAAATACATTGTTCCATTCAGGTGTTAAACGGTAGCACAAGATGGTTTCTAGAGCACAAAAGAAAATAAACTAATGATACAAATACAAACTTAAATCGTTTTATTTAAACTACATCTGACAAGAAAAGGAAAATTCTTTAAGAGACAGTGAAACTCATGCTCTTACACAGTAAGCCCAGGTGAGTGAGTGACAGCTTTCACCACTGACAGGAAGGAAAAAAGAAACTACAGGGTAATTTTCTAAAAGCACACTGCTCACTTTTGTCTGATTTATATTCACGTGCAAAACATATAATCAGAAGCCCTCAATCTGAAAATAACATTGTGCTCACAACACACACTCAGGTAGAGCAACGCACAGACTTCCATTCAAACTCACAGAAGTGTGGCCCAGCGGCTTTCAGAGAACTCTGCCCACACAGCTCCTGGTACTTCTCACGCTTGGCAGGAGGTAGGTTAGGATGGCAAAGATGACCCGCGGCAGATGAACAGGGGGCCTTGGACACACACAGAGCTGCTACTGCTTCTCCACGTCTGTAACAAGGACCAGTCTTCCGGGAACCCACCACCGTCCCCCAAATACATGACAACAGTCATGAAACAAGGTGGCCACCAGATTGGGTGGCTCGGGTCCCCCAGTCACAGCCCACTCGACAAACTAGAACTCAACTTGAATCTGAGACACAAGACTCCAGAATGATGAATCCAACAGTCAGCTAAGGTGAGCATTATAGAGTAGACGGACAATCACAAAGTTTCTCTACTTCTGAGTCTGGTCCACAAAAACCTCTGCCCGAGGCCCCACCAAGACCCACTGGAAATACCGTTTGCTCAAATAAACTTTTCAAGTTACAATGTGTCTCAGTTTACCATTTTACAATGCTGCTAAAAACACTAGAAGACAAAATAAAACAAACATACAGAATATATGCCCAATGTTTTAAATTACTGTGGGATTTAACAGACATGAAACAACTGTGGAGTCACCTCCAAGTCTCAGGCTGTTTCTACACTGACCCCCAGGTGGACATCACCAGGCATAACCTAGCCACTGGCAGCTCTTCCCGGGCCCTTGGGTCCAGAGCCCAAGACGGGCACTGAGGAGGCCCTGTTCAGCAGAGTGGCAGACCCAAGGCCCAAACCACAGCACTGCATACACAGGCCACCAAGGCCCAAGAGCTGCAGACCAGTGCTATCAGGATTTCTTTTCCAACAATTCTTCCTAAACAGTTATATGGTAAAAGAGGGCTTTCCCAGTGGCTCAGAAGAGTCTACCTGCAACGCAGGAGGTGTGGGTTCAAGCCCTGGGTTGAGAAGATCCCCTGGAGAAGGGAATGGCAACCCACTCCAGTATTCTTGCCTGGAGAATCCCATGGATGGAGGAGTCTGGCAGGATACAATCCTTAGGGTCACAAAGAGTCAGACATGACTGAGCAACTAGACAACAATATGGTGAAATGAGTTTCCCACCTCAAACCTAAAAAAAAACACAAAACCCACAGCAGAGAAGTATTTGCTGTATTTTGATCTCTGATTCATATATCCCTTCAGCAAACTCTGTTGGCTAGTACCAGGCATTGGGTTTATGCCAAAAATGGAAAATGCATCAACAAATACACACACCTTGGGCAGCGACCCTCAAAGTTACACCACTTCCGGTTTCCTGGGTTCCCATCTCTCTGTCAGAACAACTCCCACAGAGCAGCCTCAGGAGCAGCTGTTCACCCCATGGGACGGGAAGAGCGAGAGAGGGTGAGGGCGGCTGGGCCACGCATGAGGCACCAGACATGGTCTCCCGCACGGGTGCTGGGGGCGCCCCCAGCACTTCTGAGCTTGAACCACGCTGCCCTCAGGCTACACAGTGACTTCGTCTGTCAGACACTCAGATGGCTTTGTCTCTGCTGAAAAACATTTACACCTGATAGGAGTTTCGTTTTCCTTACTGAAAAAAATCCTGTGAAACTTGCTGGAGATAACCTTGAGTCTGTGTCTCGGTTACTAATTTTGCACTGCTGCTGCAGACCTGACATCAGCCAGCTACGATGTCACCATCACCGCTCAGGTAGTTAGAATTAGACTCCAGCGGGCAGTCTGATCTTTTAACAGTGACGGTCAAGAGATGAACATAAATAAACTCGGTCAGCGGAGGCTGTCCCCCTGGGGCAGGAGGAGACAGCCCAGGGTGGGGAGTGTGTGGCAGAGCCCCTCCCCAACCCACAGCTCTGGGTTCAAGTCCGAGCTCCGCCTCAGCCCAGCCGTGGGTCCAGGACAAGCCAGCTGTCCCGCCAGGCCCTGGCTCTCCCCAGGGCCTCCTTGCAGGACCGCTGTGGGGAAACAGGCGCACAGACCACATCCAGAGAGGTTGGAGGGACAACTGGCCACCAGGGACCTGCCCTTGCTTGTTGGCGCCCACACAGAGTGTGGGCTTCCTGGCTGTGGTTCCATGTTCTCAAGGCACAATAAGAAGTGCCGTGCATGGAAGATGAGAAACTGAGAGTGGAAAGAAGCACTGAAACAAAATGGCAGCTTCCCATAAGTTGAGGGGCTTCCCTGGGGTCTGAAGAACAAGGCAGGCGAAGCCCATCAGAGTCCTGGCTGGGCTGGGGAGGAGCCCCCACCAGCGAGTAAGAGCCTGTCTTACTTACCAGGGCCATCACTGAGAGGAAAACCCCACTGACCACACTGCTTCACGCACTCGAGCATCAGAGATGCAGGGAGGCTGTGGGGGTCTCACGGGAGGAGGCCAGGTCCCCATGTGCCCTACAGGTGGGGTCGTTCCCTCCAAGCCACCAGGAGGATATGGCTGCTCTGCCAGACAACAGACATGAGGAACAGAGAAGGGGCTGGAAAACAAGTGCGTCTTCACACTGAGGCCCTGGGAAAGCTGGGGAACAGGTGGACAAAGGGGGAGGCTCCAGAACTCTGCTCGGCACTGCTGACCCTGTGACCCCACTGTGCCGGACACAACACAGCTGCACGTTGAGAAAAGACGCACACCACCGCCCTCACTGGGAACGACACTCTCTGGACTCCCCCTCTCCCTCGCGTTATTGGATGTGAGACTCACTGGATTCCACAGTCATCTGTAGCAGGCTGTCCATCACGCTGGGCAGCAGCCCCCGGCTGGACAGCTTCAGGTGGCTCAGCACCACTGGCACCGCCTGCAACTGCAGGAACAGGCTCTTCCCCTCGTCTGCCTGCAGGTCCAGACATAGCGAGTCAAATGCCTGCGCCAGGAAGTCAGCTGGAAGACAGGGCACCAGACAATGATCGCATCGTTAGTCCAGCAGGTCACAGACATGGCAGGAAGGGGACCCCAATACGGCCGCAATCACAAGAGAAAAGGAGACGAGACGGGCTCAATTCAGACACTGCCCTTCACTCAGCTGTCAGGACTGAAATGGGAGGAGATGGTACATTACGACAGGGTAAACTTCACTCAGAAATTCCCTGTTTAACACCGAAATTACAATGAACACCACTCCTTCTTTGTATCAAGGAAAACAGTCAATATTCAGCAGTTTGATCATGACTACTACCTGCCGCCACCTGTGAGCAGCATCACCGCTGCCACCTGGACAGCTGCTTCTGAGACGAGGTTTCTTGCTACTGCTGCTCCCATCCACCTGTTTCAAAATGTAACTTTATAAAAATGAGGGTTTTTATAGATCAAGACCAAATGGGAGCTACTCCCAGAGCTCAGGAGACCAACCTGGTTGGGTTGCCTGTGACATCTCCGCTAGGAGGAATGGCTGGGGGCCCTGACCATCCTGAACTGCATATAATATGCAGATAGTGCACGAAGAGTTAACACAAAGTGTCAAACCCACACCAGGATCATGTCTATGCAGATGCTCGTGAAGAACATAAGTCCTTGATTTCTGCCCTGACACTCCAGTGATAACCCTTCCCTGACCTGGGCACTCACCGTTACTTACAAACTCTGTACTTAGGTCCCATTCTCTTTCACAGTGGATGAGGTTTTACTGACACCATGTTACAGCAAGGTCCACATTTCACAGATTCTGCTTTGCTTATGTGAATAGTATCTCTTTCCTCCTCATTGTTTCTTATTACTGATGATCAGAATAGTTAACACTCTAGTCATGAGCTCTGTGGGGTCTTGTTCATCAGGGCGCCACACGCCCATGACCTGAGCACCCCCCGAAGGCCAGTCTCCTGACACCACCTCCCTGGGAGTAGGGTCCCCATGTGAACTGTGAGAGGGACATAACATTCAGCCCATAGCACATGGCAGCCAGCACTCCTGCCAGTGTCCCTGACTGTCTGACCTGTAGGGACCATCCCTAAGTCACCAGTTTTCACTATTTGCTTCCATATCCATTCCCACGTGTCTGAGGCCAGTGCTGGAGACAGTGTGTCCAATACTGGACTGTACAGAGTGGAGGAGGAGGCACCGAATCCTTCCTGCTTATCTCTTCTTCCCATTCGCATTACCAGCAATGAACATCACTGTGTCTCTGATGATGTGACCATGTATGTTGATACATGGTGAACTCTGGTCTGGGCTTCTCAAACACATCTCAGACAGCCACTACCCCTTCTGATACAACTCTGGGGACCATAACAACAAGGAAGAAAAGAACAAAGACAGACGCACTGTCTGGTAGGCAGGTGCTCTCTGTTGCTAGCTACTGAGCTCTGCTGTTATGAGGAAAAGCAGTCAAGAGGCCACGGGAGGCAGATTAACATACATGTGTTCAACTAAATTCTATTCACAGAAATAAGTGCTGGGCTTCATGGGCCCTCGGGCTCTGGCCCAGCAAGCGTTGTCCCAGTGGATCTGTAAAGGCACACTCTTCGTGCTGTGTGGGTTCTGTGAGGCAGGTGGCAGCAAAGGCTGCCGTGGACACAGGATCCAGGTGCATCAGTAAAGGCCCTGGAGGGCAACTAGCCAACCCACCACTGACCTTCTCAACTTCAGCAACTACAGTCATTCTAGGAGATACTGGGCCCTCAGCACAAAACAGCACACTAGTCCATTCTGAAAAAGTAAAATGTGTAACTATGTAAGAACTGCTTCACTGTGGACAATCTGAAGGCTTACCTTGAGTGACTGTTTTGAGGACAATTAAAGTGGACACGAATCTCAGGGGCAAGCTGGTGCTCTTGAAGAAGGCAGCTGTCCTTGGTCGACTCTCCACTGAGTGCTCTAAGGCTGCGTCCTGAACACCCTTCGTCACCACTCCTCTGAATATGTCTTCACCCAGCCTCCTCAGTGTGGCTGTCATGGTCGAGTGCTGTTGAAAATATGAACTCTTGCAGTACACTTATCCACGGTCAGGAAATAGATATTTTAAATACTACAATCAAATATATGAACTAAAAATAAGCTAACTAAAAAAAATTCAATGGAGCTGAAAATACACAGGATTGAAAAGTAGAGTACAGGAAACCCACTCTGCAGACACACACAGATGAAAAGGGAATGGACAAAGAACACACACCAGGCTGACGGTGACCGAGAGGCTGGAGCAGTTCTCAGCCTCAAACAGGCTTCAGAGCAGGCAGTTACCAGGGAAGGGAGGGGCACCACGTAGTGACGGAGGGTGAGGTCTCCAGGAAGACACGACAACACCTCGGTATGTGATCACCTGCAGATACAACACCCACCGCACGATCTGTCAAAAATAACTGGTAAGCTGGACTTCATTAAAATCAAAACCTCCTGCTCTGTGAAAGCACTGTCAAGAGAATAAGAGGACAAGCCAGAGATGGGGGAGAAAACATGTGTAAAAGACATATCTGAAAGACTGTTACCCAAATACCGATAGAGTTCTAAAGACTCAGCAGTAAGAGAACACAGCCCAATTAAAAATGCACAGATGACCCGGACACCGAAGCCAAGACAACACACAGATGCCAGGCAGACACAAGAAGCAGCACCGCATATGTCATCAGGGTGAAACTCCTGTGGGGTAACACCCCACACGATGGGGAGGGCTGACGCCCCAAACCCCGACAACACCAAATGCTGGTCAGCCTGTGGGGGCAACAGGTACCCTCAGCACTGCTGGGGGACCAGAGAGGGCAGCCTCTCGAAAGACAGGCTTCAGCTTCTTAAACAACAAACCATCCTCTTAGCCAAAAACTGCTCCCTGATATTTCAGCTCCTGAAGGAGACGAAAACTTACATCCACACAAAAACCTGCCTGTGGATGTGACAGCAACTCTACTCAGAGTTGCCACATCTTGGAAGCAACCAACATGTCCGTCAGTAGGTGATGGGTAAACAGTGGTCTCCAGACAGTGGAACAGTATCCAGAGCTGAAAAGAGCTATTAGGCCATGGAAAGGCATGCAGGAGCCTTAATACATATGACAATGTGGAAGAAGCCCACGTTAAAAGGGCACGCACTGTGTCACCCCAGCTCCGTTGACATTCTGGAAAAGGCAGGACTACCTGGGCAGTAAATGGACAAGGTGCAGTGGGGAAGAACAGGCACAGCACAGAGGATTTTTAGGACAAATTATTTTTTTTGTATCAAATTTTAATTTTTTGCATCAAATTTTATATCAAACTATACAGTGTGATAGTGTAACAATGGTTACAGGCTCCAATACATTTGTCAAAACCCACAGAACGCACACCACCAAGATGGTGGTGGATGATGGCACATCCACGCAGGACGTTGACTGTGAAGATTCTATCTGGCAAGGATGCTGATGGGGAGGTGAGGATGTAGGGCAGGGTACCTGGGAAATCTCCCTGCTCAATGCTGCTGTAAAACGTGACATCTACATATGAGAAGAGCAACGTGAGGCTCTGGAGGGAGACGGGACTGTTCTGTCACCTGACTGTGGCCCTGGCGGTGACAATGCACCTGTTCTGCACTGCGTCACCCTCGGGAGACAGACACAACGTATCTATTATTTCTTATGACCACAGAGAATCTCTAATTTCCTCAAAATAAAAAGCTGAACTTATGTACTTGTACTTTGACAACTGTTAAAACTAAATTATTAAAAACCCATCAGTAAGTGTTTAGCAATTCGCGGGTGAGAACAATACGTCTCAGCAGAAAGCCGTGCAGCTGGCAGCCCCGCCCCAGAGCACACAGAGCAGCCGAGTTCACGTTGGAGACAGGGCAGCACCAACTGTCTCAGGAAGAATGAGAAGACTATTCCGGAAGGAAGACAAAGTCTCACTCAGTGCTGAGTCTAGCCTTTGATGGCTGAAAGTGAGAATTCAGCCAACCTTTCTCAGAAACCATCACACAAACAATAAAGTCACAGTGACTTTGAACAGACTTGATCATTTTATGTAACTTTCTTTTGTTACAAGCTTACAACCAATACATTCAGATGATATTAAGTGTGTGGGTGCACATGTTCACATGCTCCCCCACACACATGCTCAAGCACTCGTTTACTATGATGGCAAAATATTTAGGATTTCCTCAGGAAAGGTATTTTCCTAAACCTCAGCCATCCGGCTACATAACCATCAGCCCTGCATGGAGCAGCTTAGCCCCCTCACCCTAAGGGCCGAGGGGCCAAGAGGAAACTACCCCAGCAAGGCTTCGTTTCTTCCCCATTTTTAACTGAACGAAACCTGTGTCAGGATGTACCAATTCTAACTGGGGAAATAAAAATTTTACAAACCTACTATAATTCACAGCACAAACAGGTACACACACACCTCACATTTGGATTAAACAACCCTACGTGAGCTGGTAACACACACCCTTCATTTACATGACGCTGGAGTAACTCTCCGTCTTTGATTAGCTTATCCTAACAATCATACTCCCATTTAGCTAGTGTGTGTTTATTGACATAAGCACAAAAAATCAATTTCTATTACCTTCAAGAATATGAGAAACCATAAATTAAATAACAGGGCGGGGGAAGCAGTTAGTTTCAACAATAACCTAACACAGTGAAACTCCTTATTACACAATTCTGAAGCTCACAAACAATGACCCACTGCCCTGAGAAAGAAGAGTAAGTGGTGAACGACACAAGGGAGGCAGGAAAAGTCCTGCAACGTGAAGAGAATGCTCAGGGAAGCCTGAGACAAAGCAAGACTGGGAGCCACGCAATACTGAACACAGCTTTCCCTGCAGATTGACTGATTCACAGTTACCTGAGTCCCGGCATCGAGCTGCCTTAAAGACCAGTAGATAAACTTCACGAAAGGCTCATGAAGCCTGGCATTCACAAAGGGCAACCACTGCAGCTGCTCTGTCATCAGAGGCAAAAGCTAAAGATGAAATGATGGAAAATATGAACACACAGTTTTCAGACATCTGAAATTATCATAGTTTTCCAAAAATTATTTTTCCAAGAGAAGAGTTCTCAAAAAAATCTCTACTTTAAAATAAAATGCAATACAATAAGGAAACATTACATTTGAGACATTACATATTTATTTCCTTGACCCACCAATAGCACACCTAGGATTTTAAGGTTAACCTACACAACCACACATCTGAATCTTTTGTTGTTCTTCAGGTGCTAAGTTGCGTCTGACTCTTTGTGATCCCATGGATTACAGCATAAACTTACAGTACATGTATAACCATTAACTGATAATGACATCTTTATTGCCATGGCATAGTCTGAGGTGATAAAAGCAGGTTTCAAAAGTGTAATAAGAGCCCATTTATATAAAATACCTCTGTATTGAATTTGTATTCAGAGAGATAAGATGTTTTTAAAAAGTATTAACAGTGAGATTTCAGTAACTGGAAAGATGTTCACTTTCCTCTTTATATGTCTTTCATAAACATTTTAATGTTAATTTGTAAAAATAATACACATTTTTAAAAAAGATAAATATGAACGTTGACTCAAGAGTATGTTATTTTGTTGAAAGTTTAAGACCACAGAGATACATTCTAAGCCTCTGAGGAAATAATCCCACTTCTGCTATAACAGCTTAAGAAAATTACCTAAAATAAAACCTTCCAAAAGCTTGCATACAAAAATACTGTTACACTGATTCAAAAAAAATGGAAGTGACTTAACGGCCTAACAAAGGGAAACAGCTAGGTCAAGTGAATAGCTTACTCAGTGGACTAGAGATGATAAACAGAAAATATTAACTAATGATAAAAATTAAGTAATAAAAACAAGGATGTAAAATCATACGTAACTGGACCACAGACAGGATAATAAAGACACACTAGACCTCTGACAGCAGCTCTGGGACACCCTCCCCATGCACCACCCACCTCTATTCCATGCCCCCAACCCCTGATACCCTCTCTCTGACTTCTGAGACCCAGCTCCTCCACCTCTCTGCTCACTTTCAGGGCCCCCTATTGGCTGGTCCTCAGGCACCTGGTCCCGGGGTACTGGAGCCTCAACTCAGGATCAGCCAATCGGGCCTCACGCCTCCAGCATCCACACCCAGTTCAGAAGTCTCTGCAGAGCTCCATCCCCATGGCAACGCCCACCAGACACGAGCACGCTGGACTCCAGCTCAGTTGCCTAAAACTATCCAGCCAGAGGACAGAGGTGCAAACCCAGATCTTGTGGGTTTCCTACCTGGAGTGAATGCTGCCAACTTGCATCCCAGTGCAAAATCAAGAGCTGGGAGCCAACCCTGAGACCCCGCAAAAGTACAGGATCCATCACCAAGTCCCAAGTACGCAAAGTTGCATACTTTTGTACTGGCTTCCCCAATGGCTTACCGAGTAAAGAATCTGCCTGCAATGCAGGAGACACAGGAGACCAGGGTTCAATTCCTAGGTTGGGAAGATCCTCTAGAGCAGGAAATGGCAACCCACTCCAGTGTTCTTGCCTGGAAAATCCCTTGGATGGAGGAGCCTAGTGGGCTGCAGTCCAAAGGGTCGCAAAGAATCTGACATGACTGAACAATTAATATTTCGCTTCAAAGGTGTGCATCCAGAACAAGTTAATAAATAATCCTTATTCGAGGATGACAAGAACCTGGTGCTCCCTTGGGCTGTGGCTGGAGGTCTAGTTCCCTGGTCAGCCGGCTGTTAGCAGGTGGTCATCCCAGCCTGGTTATGACCCTCTACCTCCTTCCTTCTCCGCCTTCATGGCTGGTGAGGGTGAGTGAGCCTCTGACCTACTCTACAGTAGCCTCTTGTGTCTGAAGTGCTCTGTGAGTTAATCACCTGGGTTAATCACCACTTTAACCAAGCTCCAACACTTGGGCCACCTGATGCAAAGAGCCGACTCATTAGAAAAGACCATGATGCTGGGAAAGATGGAAGGCAGGAGGAGAGGGGGACAACAGAAGACGAGATAGTTAGATGACATCACCAACTCAATGGACATGAGTTTGAACAAGTGCTGGGAGATGGTGATGGACAGGGAAGCCTGGTGTGCTGCAGTCCATGGGGTTGCAAAGAGTTGGACACAACTGAGTGACTGAACAACAAGTGGACTGATCTCCACTTGGGGGTCAGTGGATAAGTAACTTTAATTTACTTTGGCAAAGTGATGTAACATCCACGGGCTCCAGGGCTTAGCTTATGAATATCTCCAGGGCCATTATCCTGCCCAGCACAAAAGGCCTTCAGAAGAAACTTTTTAGGTAAGGATGGAAACTGGAAATAATTTCCTAAAATGAAACCGTGTCCTGTATGTAAAAATTTTTTAAATCAAACCAACCTCAGATATCCAGTCTTCAGAGTTTTTAATGTATTTCTTGTAGAATGCAACAGTCAACCTCGTGACAATTTATACTGACTGGAAATCATGAGTATCATATTCAAATTAATGTTTGTAATTTAAGAAAATGGTCATTTGTCTTTGATAATGAGAAGCCTCTTGAAAATACTGTTTGTTCTTTCATGACAAAAGGCAAAATAAAATTATTTTAGTGAGATGTGAATCCTAAAAAGATGCATTATCAGGAACTGTTCATATCACTGATTACCTGCCTAACTCTCTAATTATTTTGCCATTTTATGGAGTAGGTTTTTAATTCCTGGCCTTCTTTTAAAAGGAAATTCCCATTATGTTATAAAAATACACACAGGAATTCATGTGGATTAAGTCTAAAATGAGTATTTTTACAATTGACTGTTGGTATGATCAACTTTCTGTCAAAAATACTTTTAATATTTTTTGTCCTGCAAAATATACCACAGGCTTCCTTTTTTCACTCTTCATGTCTCTACTGAGTCATATTATTTTTCAAATTAAAAACAAACCTTCACACACTTCTCCTGAATATCAGTTCTCTGAGAAGCAAATGTGGGCAGTGGCTTTTCACCATCCATTCCAGATTCTTCATTTTTCAATTTGCTAAGGTGCTGATCTGAAATCCAATCCATGAAGACAGTTAAAAGTTCATAAACTTGTCCATTAAGTGATACCTATAAGCAAAAAATTAAAGCAAGCATTTACTTCAATTCATGGCTTGCTAAAACTTCAAAGGCAAGTTTTACATTTGTTAAGTGATTATGGAATAATTTATCTAAACTGCTTCCGTAAAACATGCATTGGATTGCAAAGCTTCTCCAAATGGAAGAAATTCCAAATCAAATCTCTCCAGTTAACATCAGACACATGTTAAATGCTGGCTGACAGAAGAGGGGAAACCCACCACAATAAGGACATTGAAAGAACTGTACCTTATTACCAAGAGAGAGAATTTTCATTAAAATTATTTATCCAAGTTTGATAATGAAGAAAAGCAAAATTGGCCTTAATTCAAGGGCATGAACCACCATACCTAAGATTTTAACAAATTTAAAGGTTTTAAAAGCTAAATAATTTCCACCATTGAACTTTTTATCTTCCTCCCCCAAAAGCTGTTTTTCTTTACATTGTGCCATTCTATAAAACGGATATGAAAAATTTTTCCTGGAAACCCTGTTCTTTGAGAGTCTACACAAATGGGAAGAAAATAAGAACCAAATGCCATAAAAAACCAGTATAAATTCAACTCAACTGACTTCTATGTTCCTTCAAACCACTTTTAATCATTTTAAGTCGACATTTACCACACGTGTGACTTAAACAGGGAACTATGCCAGATTTAACTTGACAGAGAAGTACAAGAGCAAAGTAATAAAAAAGGCATAGTTCAGCAGACAGCAATCCACAAAAACAGAAACAGATGAAGGAAAACAAAGTTACATTATTCTGAACAAGAGTAATCTTTAACTTTTTCAATTTTCTTCAAATAGGAACCTTTGATGAAAACTATAATCATCTTGAGTACCTGAGTATGAATCTCCAATTCTTCTACTTTAATGTTTCTAATTAAAATTTTTTTTCACAACTAGCATCCTCTTTAATAAAACAAGGAAACTATGTAGCAGGAAAAAGGGGTGGGGGAGTAAAATAGGACCTCTTCCAACCACTAAGCCCTCTGCACACAGTGTGTGTGTGGCAGACAGAGGGTTTGGGGCACGGGGAGGCAGCAACAGATTGGGTCAGCCCTTTTGGGAGTGGAGTGTGGGGTCCAGGCAAGTCTGCAGTGAGATATCACTACCAACCACTGGAAAGATGAAAATAAAAAGGATTGGAAACATCAAATATGGATGAAGCTATGGTGCAATAGAATAGACTGCTAGCAATGGTACAAATAACATGACCACTCTGGAAAACTGGCGGCCACCCCAGCAGTTAAACCTACATGTACCTTATGACACAGAAATTCCAGTCTTGGCTTTATTTCCAAGAGGGATGGGAACACATTTCCACAAACAGCCCGGTACACTGATATTCTTAGCAGCCGAATATTTTGCTCTGATTTTACAAACAAAAGCATATCTGAAATATGATACTTCTCTACAAAGAAATTATTATGGTGAATACTTCCATAGCAAAAAGAATGTTTGATAAATTAAAAAAAAAAAAAAAAGAACAAAGAGAAAAATGTCCTGGCTTTGCAGTTGAGAAATTTTCAACCATACCTTACAAGGTTTTGAAGCTGGTACTTTTTCCTGCTTTAAACTTTTTGCTTCATGAGTGGCCTGGGGATTGCCTTTCAGTCTCTGTATTGTCATGAACTCGTACTTCCTCTGTAACAGCATGTATCCATGAATTAAAGAAAAATGGTATCAGAAGTGAGACCAAGGCAGTCATTTCAGATTTCACTTGTGTGTCAAGAGCAGAGCAGGTTCCTTACCTGTAAATTGTCTAAGCGAGCTTGAACTCTTTTGGCCTGAACCTCCAACTTCCTGTTTTCTTCACTCACTTCATTCAACTAAAACAGGAAAACAATAGACATTTCAATAGAAACCTCAAGCTGATTTCCTACTGAAGTTTTCCCAGGATACTATCTTATCTGGTCTATTACCAGGCAACACAACACACAGAAGAAGCACCCACGATTTTTTTTTTTTTTTTTATTGTCAATATCTGTAGTTTTATTTTTTTTTTAAATTAATTAATTAATTAATTTATTTTTTTAATCACAACCATAGTGTATCTTTTTTTTTTTTTTTACATGTATTCCCCATCCCAGTCCCCCCTCCCACCTCCCTCTCCACCCAATCCCTCTGGGTCTTCCCAGTGCACCAGGCCCGAGCACTTGTCTCATGCACCCAACCTGGGCTGGTGAACTGTTTCACCCTAGATAATATACGTGTTTCAATGCTGTTCTCTTGAAACATCCCACCCTCGCCTTCTCCCAGAGTCCACAAGTCTGTTCTATACATAGGAGTCTCTTTTTCTGTTTTGCACATAGGGTTATCGTTACCATCTTTCTAAATTCCATATATATGTCTTAGTATACTGTAATGGTCTTTATCTTTCTGGCTTACTTCGCTCTGTATAATGGGCTCCAGTTTCATCCATCTCATTAGAACTGATTCAAATGAATTCTTTTTAATGGCTGAGTAATATTCCATGGTGTATATGTACCACAGCTTCCTCATCCATTCGTCTGCTGATGGGCATCTAGGTTGCTTCCATGTCCTGGCTATTATAAACAGTGCTGCGATGAACATTGGGGTACACGTGTCTCTTTCAGATCTGGTTTCCTTGGTGTGTATGCCCAGAAGTGGGATTGCTGGGTCATATGGCAGTTCTATTTCCAGCTTTTTAAGAAATCTCCACACTGTTTTCCATAGTGGCTGTACTAATTTGCATTCCCACCAACAGTGTAAGAGGGTTCCCTTTTCTCCACACCCTCTCCAGCATTTATTGCTTGTAGACTTTTGGATAGCAGCCATCCTGACTGGTGTGTAATGGTACCTCATTGTGGTTTTGATTTGCATTTCTCTGATAATGAGTGATGTTGAGCATCTTTTCATGTGTTTGTTAGCCATCTGTATGTCTTCCTTGGAGAAATGTCTGTTCAGTTCTTTGGCCCATTTTTTGATTGGGTCATTTATTTTTCTGGAGTTGAGCTGGAGGAGTTGTTTGTATATTTTTGAGATTAATCCTTTGTCTGTTGCTTCGTTTGCTATTATTTTCTCCCAATCTGAGGGCTGTCTTTTCACCTTGCTTATAGTTTCCTTTGTTGTGCAAAAGCTTTTAAGTTTCATTAGGTCCCATTTGTTTATTTTTGCTTTTATTTCTAAAATTCTGGGATGTGGGTCATAGAGGATCCTGCTATGATTTATGTCGGAGAGTGTTTTGCCTATGTTCTCCTCTAGGAGTTTTATAGTTTCTGGTCTTACATTTAGATCTTTAATCCATCTTGAGTTTATTTTTGTGTATGGTGTTAGAAAGTGTTCTAGTTTCATTCTTTTACAGGTGGTTGACCAGTTTTCCCAGCACCACTTGTTAAAAAGGTTGTCTTTTTTCCATTGTATATCCTCGCCTCCTTTGTCAAAGATAAGGTGACCATAGGTTCGTGGATTTATCTCTGGGCTTTCTATTCTGTTCCATTGATCTATATTTCTGTCTTTGTGCCAGTACCATACTGTCTTGATGACTGTGGCTTTGTAGTATAGTCTGAAGTCAGGCAGATTGATTCCTCCAGTTCCATTCTTCTTTCTCAGGATTACTTTGGCTATTCGAGGTTTTTTGTATTTCCATACAAATTGTGAAATTATTCGTTCTAGTTCTGTGAAAAATACCGTTGGTAGTTTGATAGGGATTGCATTGAATCTGTAGATTGCTTTGGGTAGTATAGCCATTTTGACAATATTGATTCTTCCAATCCATGAACACGGTATATTTCTCCATCTGTTTGTGTCCTCTTTGATTTCTTTCATCAGTGTTTTATAGTTTTCTATGTATAGGTCTTTTGTTTCTTTAGGTAGATATACTCCTAAGTATTTTATTCTTTTTGTTGCAATGGTGAATGGTATTGTTTCCTTAATTTCTCTTTCTGTTTTCTCATTGTTAGTGTATAGGAATGCAAGAGATTTCTGTGTGTTAATTTTATATCCTGCAACTTTACTGTATTCGTTGATTATCTCTAGTAATTTTCTGGTAGAGTCTTTAGGATTTTCTATGTAGAGGATCATGTCATCTGCAAACAGTGAGAGTTTCACTTCTTCTTTTCCTATCTGGATTCCTTTTACTTCTTTTTCTGCTCTGATTGCTGTGGCCAAAACTTCCAAAACTATGTTGAATAGTAGTGGTGAGAGTGGGCACCCTTGTCTTGTTCCTGATTTCAGGGGAAATGCTTTCAGTTTTTCACCATTGAGGGTGATGCTTGCTGTGGGTTTGTCATATATAGCTTTTATTATGTTGAGGTATGTTCCTTCTATTCCTGCTTTCTGGAGAGTTTTAATCATAAATGGATGTTGAATTTTATCAAAGGCTTTTTCTGCATCTATTGAGATAATCATATGGTTTTTATCTTTCAATTTGTTAATGTGGTGTATTACATTGATTGATTTGCGGATATTAAAGAATCCTTGCATTCCTGGGATAAAGCCCACTTGGTCATGATGTATGGTTTTTTTAATATGTTGTTGGATTCTGTTTGCTAGAATTTTGTTAAGGATTTTTGCATCTATGTTCATCAGTGATATTGGCCTGTAGTTTTCTTTTTTTGTGGCATCTTTGTCTGGTTTTGGAATTAGGGTGATGGTGGCCTCATAGAATGAGTTTGGAAGTTTACCTTCTTCTGCAATTTTCTGGAAGAGTTTGAGTAAGATAGGTGTTAGCTCTTCTCTAAATTTTTGGTAGAATTCAGCTGTGAAGCCATCTGGTCCTGGGCTTTTGTTTGCTGGAAGGTTTCTGATTACAGTTTCGATTTCCTTGCTTGTGATGGGTTTGTTAAGATCTTCTATTTCTTCCTGGTTCAGTTTTGGAAAGTTATACTTCTCTAAGAACTTGTCCATTTCTTCCAAGTTGTCCATTTTATTGGCATAGAGCTGCTGGTAGTAGTCTCTTATGATCCTTTGTATTTCAGTGTTGTCTGTTGTGATCTCTCCATTTTCGTTTCTAATTTTGTTAATTTGGTTCTTCTCCCTTTGTTTCTTAATGAGTCTTGCTAATGGTTTGTCAATTTTGTTTATTTTTTCAAAAAACCAGCTTTTAGCTTTGTTAATTTTTACTATGATCTCTTTAGTTTCTTTTGCATTTATTTCTGCCCTGATTTTTAAGATTTCTTTCCTTCTACTAACCCTGGGGTTCTTCATTTCTTCCTCCTCTAGTTGCTTTAGGTGTAGAGTTAGGTTATTTATTTGACTTTTTTCTTGTTTCTTGAGGTAGGCCTGTAATGCTATGAATCTTCCCCTTAGCACTGCCTTTACAGTGTCCCATAGGTTTTGGGTTGTTGTGTTTTCATTTTCATTCATTTCTATGCATATTTTGATTTCTTTTTTGATTTCTTCTATGATTTGTTGGTTATTCAGAAGCGTGTTGTTTAGCCTCCATATGTTTGAATTTTTAATAATTTTTTTCCTGTAATTAAGATCTAATCTTACTGCACTGTGGTCAGAAAAGATGACTGGAATGATTTCAATCTTTTTGAATTTACCAAGACTAGATTTATGGCCCAGGATGTGATCTATTCTGGAGAAGGTTCCGTGTGCACTTGAGAAGAAGGTGAAGTTGATTGTTTTGGGGTGAAACGTCCTATAGATGTCAATTAGGTCTAGCTGCTCCATTGTGTCCTTTAAAGTTTGTGCTTCTTTGTTCATTTTCTGTTTAGTTGATCTATCCATAGTTGTGAGTGGGGTATTAAAGTCTCCTACTATTATTGTGTTACTATTAATTTCCTCTTTCATACTCGTTAGCGTTTGCCTTACATATTGCGGGAAGCACCCACGATTAAAGATCACAGCAAAAACCACCACTGGGCCCTAAAACATGAGGAGTTTCTAGAAAGTTTACTTCATTCTATTAAAAATGTGCAAGTCTCCTAACATCTTAAATGAAGACATTTTAACAGGGAACGTCCTTTTTCTGAATTTTCTACTGAACTATAATGTACATACGAGAAAATGTAAAAACTACCTAACAGTGTAGTGAATTACTGGGACTGGAGTTAATGTCTACATAACTCAGAAAAAGCACCTTCTTCACCATAGTGGGTCTCCTACCCCGCATACAACACAGCCTCCCACTTCTTTCCATCCTCTTTAATTGCTTTTTATTTTTTTATCTTCTTTAATTGCTTTTTTTTTAAATCCTCTTTAGTTGCTTTTTAAACAGTGCTTTGCACATTTTGTGTGTTCTGTGCATGTGTAATCTCTTAGGTTTACTCCTGTATAGCCAATGCTTCTTGACGCTACTATCCATAGCATCTTTCAATAAACACCATCTGGTTACTGTTGATATGCAGAAATACACTTGCTTTTTAAAAAAATTTATTTAAATTTATCTTTTTAATCGAAGGATAAATGCTTTACAGAATTGTGTTGGTTTCTGCCAAACATCAACATGAATCAGCCATACGTATACATACGTCCCCACTTTTACTGAACCCATATCTTAAGAGTCTCCTGAATTTGTTTAATTCTAGTAACTTATCTGTATGCTTGTCTGGATACCGACTACATCTGTGCATAATCATGTCATCAGAGGATAACTCTCATTTCTTCCTTCCCAATCCTGACCGATCCTTGCTACATGGACCAGGACGTCAGTTCAAAGTTCCCCAGAATCAGGAACAGCGAGCACCTTCCTTGTTCTGATCTCAGAGGGAAAAGATTTCAGTAACTTACGTTAAGTGTGAGTGTTGTCGGGACTGTTTCTTTTTGTAGATACTCTATGAAAATTAAGTTCTTTTCTATTCCTAGTTATTGTCTTGAGTTGGTGCTGAATTTTAAATCAAAGAATTATGATTCTTCTCCTTTTATCAGGAGATGTGTTAATTTTCAAATGAAAAATGACTCCTGTATTCCTCAGATAAATGCACTCAATGACATTATACTTTTTAGGTAGCTCTAGATTCAACTTGTTGATATTTAAATTTTTGCATCTATACTCATTGGAGTCTGGCAGCATTTTTCTTGTTGTGCTGACAGCTTTAGATTCAAGGTTCTGCCTGGCCTCCTATGACAGCAAAGAGAGCCTTTCTCTTTTAGGTTAATCAGGTCTGTGATATTTCCTCCAGGAGTCTTACTGCTCTTTCTTTGAAGGTAAGGTGCCTTATTTGTCTCTGATTTTATCTTTGACTGAAGTTTTCACATCTTAAAACAGCATACCAGTATGGTGTTCCTCAACATTTATCCTCCTTAGGGTTAACAGAATTTCTTAAAACCTGTGGGCTTGTAGGCTTCACCAACTTGTGGATATTATCCTTTCACATTCTGCCTCTCTATGTCACCAAGTACTTTGGGAACTCCCACGTTAACTTTTTCACTACTTTCTCTGCGCCCCCCAGGCGAAGTGTCCAACCATTCACCATGCATATAAACAGGCTCCACCCCTTAGCAACGCACACATCCACCCCAGTCACTACAAGTCACCAAACATGCTGGATAATCAGGATCACAGTCACCTGAGAGCCAGGTACAGGCAACAACGCACCTATGCTAGCAATCAGAAACTCTTCTCGAGAGAGCGAGACAAGACTGCAATGGGAGAACACAGTCTCTTCAAGGATGAGAGGGCTCCAGACAAAGTGGGTCAAGATCACACTCTCACTGCAGGAGGGCAGACAGTTCAGAAAAGACAAAGAATCAGAGCCAGCAAGAACTGGGGGACCTGGTTATCACTGCCATGGAGAAAGGTTATAACAAATGGGGACTACAGAAATCAGAGAGACAGAGAAGAACACACAGCTGGCCAAGAGTTCCAGGTGCAAACGCTCGAGAGTCCACATTCAGCCCCGTGCTGGAATCCATAAAGTTCCCCACCCAGGGACTCAGCTGCTAAAATGGCTGAGGTTCACCTGTTTGTGCTCATCCATGCTTCCCTCCCCACAAACACACCATCATTCTCCTGTCCCTCTCCACAAAGCCCTTCACTTCCATATATTTCAAGCAAAACTGGCAAAGGGGAGCAAAAAAAAAATACAACTAGCAAGAACCTGGTACAAGCTGAGTATGATCAAGCACTGAGCTGACCCACAGCTCTGCATATCCCACATAGTGACCCACATAGTGCAGTGCAATGTGACACAGTGGGTGTGAGCTCGCCACAGCTTTGCATGCATACATAGTGCAGTGCAGGGTGACGCAGTGGGCATGAGCTTGTGCTCCCAGCACAGGATCCACACACAAGAGACCCTCCAGAAATACACAGTGGTGTGTAACAGCCGGTTCATGAACAGTGCATAGCTACAACTCAGCACCTGAAGTCCCCAGGTTAGCGGGTTTTCTTTTCCTTGTTTTTAATCTAGTCACTGTTCTTAACAGTTTGAAAAATTCCAAGTTGTCAAATAGCTCAGCTAGTTGTCAGAACACATGATGAGAAACCAAGAGCTAGCTTAACTATTTTAAATTCAGAAGTATTTTATAATAAAGCTAACAAATAAGATGATAATCCAGGTTTTCTCTACACAGAATATGCTCTAAGATTCTGACTCAAACTGGTTAATCTATACAGTTCTGAGAATGTCTCATAATCTAACACAGATAAACTAGGTCTTACCTGTTTCTTTAAGCTATCATTCAATCCTTTCAATGCATCAAAGGAAGACCTTAGCCTTTTGCTTTCCTTATTTCTCTCTTTAAGAACTTCAGTTAAGCACCCAACTTCTGCATCATGTTGCTAGGAGGGAAAAAATAGAGATTCACTGTCACTAATGCTACTGAACATAAGTTACATAAAAATTACAACTCCCTGGGACTTCCCTGGTGGCTCAGTAAAGAATCTGTCTGCCAATGCAGGAGACACGGGTTCAGTCCCAGATCTGGGAAGATCCTACATGCCTCAGAGCAACGAAAGCCCTTCCACCACAACTACTGAGCCTGTGCTCCGCAGTGAGAAGTCACTGCAATGAGAAGCCGCCTGCACACTCCAACTAGGGAGTAGTCCTGCTCGTCACAACTAGAGAAAACCCTGCGCAGCAACGAAGACCCAGCACAGCCAAAAACAAATATATAAAATTACAGGAAATAAATAAAAAATAAAAACTAGGCTTTAAAAAAAAATTACAACTCCTTGAATCATAAGGACTTTAATCAGTATATTTAAGCATAATGGCTGACACTGCAAGTGATTTATAAAAACTGGATAATCAAGCAACTTAATACCAAAGCATTAAAAATACATGTTAAATACCTATTAAAACATATTATACAAATTAAGTAGCATTAAGGCTATTTTCGGTCCTGCTCAGAAAAATCTCCAACAGAAACTCACTGAAATAATTTCTGACATCATGGAATGATAAAGGAGTTCTGATCCTTTCAGGAGGCTAGTTAATTATTCATAGCTTTGTGAATTAAAATTTAAGGTTTAAATTAGCCCTCTGGAGAAGAAATATTCCACACATAGAACTGTTCTCATAAATTAGCTAAAATTGTCGTACATCTCAGAAAACTTAAATACATAATAAAATTTCCTGAGCCCCAAACAATTTGACTTTCCTTAACCAGTTTTATAAATATTAAAATCAATTTCCCCATAATTATACTTAAATAACAGCATGGTTTAGATTTGTGAATACTTACATAGTTTCTTTCACTTTTTACTCTCAGATTTACTCATAATGTATTAAAACAAGTAAATTTCCATAGGAAATCAAGAAACTGATTTCCTTCTTCCAAGTAATCATCCAGGTCCCACTAAAATAAAACAGTGAGCTTTATACTTCCTATAAGCAGCAAACAGACAAATCCAGAGAGAAAGAACCAAGGCTGAAATGAAGATGGAGTGCACGGAAAATCCAAAGTCATTACAAAAAAATCGGCTGTATGAAATTTTACGATTACGATAAACAACTCCTTAAATAACTCAGACAAGACCACAAAGACAACACTTATTTTAAAAGTAATATTAACATTCTCAACTGCACAAATTTTCCATCTCCAGAAGATATTAAGACCATTTGACACGGGTTCCTTTTCCAGAAGGATAAGCCCACTGAGCTCCGCTTCTCTTACTGATCACAACTAAAGCCACACAAAAAACACAGAAAGCAACTACTAAGGACAGTCAAAGGCAAACAAGCAGGGAGTTGCAGAAAGGAGGAAAAACCTGGGCAAACAGCCCTCAAGGGGCTCTGTTTCCCCATTTCTCCAGCGGCCTTGCCCCAGGGCAGGCCCTGACCCTGCTAATTGCAGAGAAATGGCTTTGCTTTCCAGGCCTGGGAACAGGAAGAGGGGATCCATGAGCCACGGATGTGCTTAAATCTAGCTCAGCCCTGAGCTGGCGAAAGCAAGGGGCAGAGACAGGAGCTCAGTTGACAACAAGCCCAACCCCACCCCTGCCCAACACCCCACAGGCATCTTAGGGACCCAGAGCATCACAGCAAAGGCTGAGAAGCCCAGCCTCAGGCCCCCAGTGGTGCCTGCAGCACACAGGCTCCAGAACAACGGCAAAGGCTCTGGGAACTGAGTGAACGCGACAAGACACAGCCTGAACCCAGCTGGGCACAGTACTATCAGGCTCCCAGAGGCTAGGCTAGGATCCCAGGTCTACAGAAGATGAGCGACACCCAGAGGACTGTTGCAACCAGACTCTGCAGTCAGTGCCACGCTCACCTCCTTCATGATCTGGAACCTCATGAGGACCTCTTCTCTGACGTCTTTCACCTCACTCAAGGCACCTTCATGTCTGAAGAGCAGCTCTTCCCTCTCGACCAGAAAACGTTCTCGCTTCTGAAGCTCCTCAGCGAATTCCTGCTGGGCTGCAGTCTCACACTGTGAGGAAGGACAGAGTTAGCGCTCTGGGAAGCTCTCTCAACTGAGCATCAGCCAGGGGAGTGCAGAGCAACGACCACACAGCACACGGGAACCCTGCAGGCCACCAATGACGGGATCGGCTAGGAGACTCCAGCGTGAGGACCTGAGAGAATCCAGGGCGCAGATAAGGGGAGCACCATGGGGACACCCCCCACTCTCCCTCCCGCCTTCCCATTGTCTCTGGGAAGAATGCCTCACACCTGCAGAGGAGCCCCTCCAACATTCCCCCTCCAATCAGCAGGGCAGGCTGCAGTGGAGCCCAGAAATCCTCTCATGTCCCCTCTATCCCCACGGCCATGCGAGCCTCCTCCAGCCTCCCCCAGAGCCCATCAGCAACCACAGCCGCTGAGCAGGACAGACAGGGTGAGGCCGTGGCCTTACAAAGGGAGGCTGGGCTTCCAATTCCTCGGCCTCCTGACCTCCCACCTGGAAAAACTTCTCTAAAATGTTGTCCTGGTTGGCTGCACCCTCCTCAGCGCACTTCAGTCTGGCTTCAACCCTCGTCCCCCCGAACCAGCTTCAGCATCACTGACCCTCAGGTCCGCTCCAACCCTGGCTGCACCTGTCCCTCCCTCTGGTCCCCTCCTTCCTGGCTGCCACCCGGGCAGCGCTGAGTCCACACCTGCAGCTTCTGGTGAATCTGGAGCAGCTCGTCATAGATCTTGCTGACCTGATGGGGCAGCAGGCCTGACTTCCGTGGGGCCCTGGATGCAGGGGAGCCAACATGCTTGGGAGGGGAGTCGCTGCCATCACTACAATAGTCAGCCCAGCTCCTTGAACGTGAGGCCACATTAGCTGGCCAGGCATCAGCTAAGAGGACAAAATTTAAATTAAAATCTCAGTTTACAGTTTTAAATATCCTCATTGTATTGTTAAAATGTTTCAAGTACTATATGCCGAAAAAAACGGAGGATGCAGTCAACGGTTTACATTTAGAAAATCTGGGTGAAAGCCATCCAGAAATTCTCTGTGGCCTTTTTGCAACTTCTCTGTAAATCTAAGACTATTTAAAAAATGAGTGGGTTAACTGCCTTGACAAAGAGATGGAGAGTTACCTCAGAAGCCCTGACACATGCGCTTTGACACGTTCCCTTACACCAAACTAACCACCAATCCAAACAGTGTTCATCACTGCTCCACTTCTTTGACGTTTAAAAAACTATTTGTTTTACTTGTTTTAAAACTTTATGTGATGTCTGTAATTAATCATATAATTACACAATCTCTATAACCTCCTCCGTTAAATAACGTGCTCCTGTGTTAACGATGGCAGCAGGTTCACGACCCTCCATGGCTTTAGCCTTTGACAATACCTTGTGACTGCCAAGCTGCACTGTATGCACAGAGGCTGGGGAGCCTTGCTCCTGGCAGCCATGGTGAGAGCTCCTGCAGTTACCCAGTGCATTCAACTCTGTGTCCAACTCTTTGTGATCCCATGGACTAGAGCCCACCAGGCTCCTCTGTCCATGGGATTCTCAGGCAAGAATACTGGAGTGGGTTGCCATGCCCTCCTCTAGGGGATCTTCCCAACCCAGGCATCAAACCCTCATATCTTAAGTCTCCTGAATTGGCAGGTGGGTTCTTTACCACTAGCACCACCTGTGATGCCAAATCAGTTACCAAAGTACCCCCTGCCCCGGCAACCCTAGCAGTGGAGGTGAGCCCTCCTGCGTTGCTCCTCCCCAGCACTGTGCTGTCAGCATTCACGCTCTGGTCACAATGAGCAGTGACTTTCACCCGCACTGGCCTCCAGCCAAGGAGGAGCCCCCGGCTGTAAGGAGTGGGTCTCCCTGGTACTCCCCATCTTGGCTGGACAGACCAGGGGAGCCAAGATAAAAAAAAGGAATTTTTTAAAAAGAAAGTTGTTTCCTGTTCGCCAGCTCCACAAGCACCCTTCCAGGGAAACACTCCGTGCTCTGCCTGCCTCCCCAGGCTCCTAGTCCACCAGCTCCGGGCCGGAATATTTCTTAGTTCTGTCAACTTTTAAACACACTCAACATTTTGTATATGTTATAACATCTTGTATTCTCAGTTGTTTCCAGTGGGAAAATCCACCACACAAATGCAGTCAGGTACCCAGAGAGCAACTGCTGACTCAGGGTGAAGGAGGCCAGGCCTCAAGTGACCTGGCCTGTTTTCCTAAAAGGTGTAAGGGTTAGTCACCTACTACCACAATCTTAGGGCATCCCAGGTGGCTCAGTGGTAAAGAATCAGCCTCCCAACGCAGGAGACATGGGTTCAATCTCTGGGTTGGGAAGATCCTCTGGAGGAGGAAATAGCAACCCACTTCAGTATTCTTGCCTGGGAAATTTCTTGGACAGAGGATACTGGAGGGCTACAGTCTGTGGGATCATAAATGAGTCAAACACGACTTAGCAACTAAACAATAATCACAATCCTACTTCCTAAGAAGTACTGACAAGAAAAAGAACTGAAAAGATTATAATATTCATGAATTATTAAGTTATTTTGATAAACTTTGACAGTGTGGAAATTCTACTGGAAAATCGTGAAGTTTATTTTCCTCTTCTCCTTTAACTTAATGACAAGCACAGCAACCAGTTCATGGCTTACAAAGACCCAAGACAAAGAAATGCACACCTTGAAAACTAGGGTCACCACTATGGGGTAAGCTTTAGCGCCCTACTTGACAAAGCTGCTGTTTAAATGACTGTTCTGAAATGAGCATTTCTCTTACCTTTGCCTGTCTCTTTAAAGGACTGCTGGTTTATTTTGGAGGCACTGACTCTAGAGTCATTGCCGGTGAACTCTTCTTCTGTTTCTGGTTCTTTCAAATCTTGAAAAGAATCCAGTTCATCATCTAGGCTTTAAAAAAAAATCAATCACAGCATTCTGGAAGATTTCTACAGCCATTTAAAGAAGAGGAGAATGCTTCAAATATTAGCAGCATAGCAATTGAAAAAACTGGTTAACAAGTAAACATTTTTTAAAAAGGAAAAGGAAAAACTGTAAACTACAGTCATGATGCTGAAAACTCACATGTGTGAACTTTCCCCACATTCAGACATGCTCAACTGCAAAGTACACCCTTCCTCCTGACCCCGTATTGCTGTGAGGTGGATCAAAGAGGCTCTGTGTCTCTAATTCTTTTAACAACTACGAGAACGAGTGTTGAAGGTGGGGAAACTGAATCTTAAGTTAAATAACTGACAGGGTAACTGACAGGTGACATAATGAGCAAAAGGTGAAGCAGAACTAGAATCCCAGATGTTCTCTCCAAAAAGATCATCTGAATGTTGGCATTTCCAGAGCCAGCTGTTCAAAGGGAATACACTACAAGTCACAAAAGATAAGTTAAATTTTTCGGGAATTCTTTGGCAGTTCAGTGGTTAGGACTCTGTGCTTTCACTGCCCAGGGCCAAAATTTAGTCCCTGGTCTGAGAACTAAGATCTCAGAAGCTTTGCAGCACTGCCATAAAGAAAGAAAAAGAAATTCTAGCAGACCCTTTAAAAACATAAAAAGACATGAAATTTTAACAGTGTATAATATTTAATCCAATATATCTAAAAGATAATCATTTTAACATACAATCAATATTAAAAATAAGATACTTTACATTCTTTTACCTATTTTGAAAATGCCATGTTTATTTTTTACTTACAGCACAACTTAGTTGAGACGAGCCCCCTTTCAAGCACTCGACACAGGTGCTGGGCAGCCCTGTAATTCCACACTAGATCACAAGGGACTGGTGGGAAAACTGTCCAAAGTTAAAACCTTTCACAGTCCTAAAGCTTCAACTTGAAACCATACCCAGACCATTTAAAGAAAATAAAACTATCAGTTCAATATGAGAAAATAATTCCCATGAACTTATAACTTCCCACAGTTTCCTTTCTCTATAATCAAACTTGGGACAGCAGGGAGATCAAACCAGTCAATCCTAAAGGAAATTATCCTGAATATTCATCGGAAGGACTGATGCTGAAGCTGAAGGTCCAATACTCTGGCCACTTGATGTGAAACGCTGATTCACTGGAAAAGACCCTGATGCTGGGAAAAACTGAGGGCAAGAGGAGAATGGGGCAACAGAGGATGAGATGGTTGGATGGTATCACTGACTCAACGGAGATAAGCTTGAGCAAACTCAGGGAGATGATGATGGACAGAGAAGCCTGGAGTACTACAGTCCATTGGGTTGCAAAGAGTCGGACATGACTTAGCAACTGAACAACTAGCACAACATTAATCAAACTACCCATGTTTACATCTTTCTTTAAAAAATATTTATTTGGCTATGTTGGATCTTAGTTGTGGTGTACGAAATCAGTTGCTCCACAGCATGTGGGATCTCAGTTCCCCAACCAGAGATCCAACCCACATTCCCTGCATTGCAAGGTGGATTCTTAACCACTGGACCACCAGGGAAGTCCCCTCGCATCCATGTCCACACCTTGACTCCAGATCAACTAGATGACTCTGTGAGCACAAAAGGAGACCGCAGAGACCGCAGTGACGGTAATGGTAACAGTGGTGCATCTGAGTGCCCTTCTATGTACTGAAGAGCATTTAAGTGCCTCACACACACTAATAATCAGAAAATGAAACAATGCAAGCTCCAAGGTATCAATCACAGTAACAATAGATATTTCAGGCACAATGTTTTTTTCCCTCTCCAGAATTACCTCAACACTTCCCTTTATATACGTCACATCTTTACAGTTAAACATCACTTCAAAATGCTTGTTTGCTTTTGATACCTTAGCACTTCTTTCTGCCACATATTTTTGGCATTAATAATATTCAGCTTAGAACTTTATTTCACCTTACCTTCCACTGGTTTTACCCAGAGTAAAAGCTCCTCTACAAAACTGCTGACCCTTCACAGCCCAGCAGCACATGGTGTAATATTCTGTAGGCCCCAACCCCAGGGCTGACCTCTTCCATCTCTCTCTGCTACCTAGGTATAGCACAGTGCTTACCACAGCAGGAGACACACAGGAGACACACCATGCCGACTACCGCTGAATAAACTTGCAGTCATTTTAATCTCAGTTCCTTATTAAAAAAATAAATAAATAAGGGAGCAAGGCCTTCTTTTAGGTCCTGGATGAAGAGCCATCTATCCTACAGTGTAAATAACCCTGCATTATATCTGTGAACAGGACGCTAGGCGTGTGGTTCCATCAGATGCTCAGGAACTAGCGCCCAGTCTCCTCCACCGCCCAGCGGGCTCCGGACCGCGGATGCCTTCTCCCACAGAAAGGCGCACACCAGACAACCTCCGCCCCCCTTGGTTTCTCGATGCCCGGGGGCGGGGGGTGACCCCCAGCAGGACTCGGGGTACCTTGCCAGTTCACTGTGAGAACACCGCGGGGGGACACAGGGCGCCGCCTCCTCTCGTCAGAGAAACATCTCAACGACGGACCGACTTTATCTCCACAGGAGAAGATGTCCAAATCCTCTGTGAACAGGAGGGAAGGCAGCCGAGGCGGCTCGGTAAGGTCCTGCACCGACCACCTCGTTCTCGGCGTGGGACACGAACTTCCAGCAGACTGGCCTCCGAGCCGCTGGTCAAACAGCATGTAGTTCATCGCCTCCCCCGCCCCCACCCCGCACGCGATCCTGGCATCGACCCGGTGCCGATGACCCTGTTCCGCGTCGGAACCGAAAGACCCAGGCGGCAGGCCAAGTCCCCGAGGGCTCAACACAGTGCTTCTCCCTCTGATGAGCTCTAAGAATTGAATTCACACGATAAACTACCTACACCTGCGGCCTGCGAGGAACAAACAACCCAGCCACCGCCCTACCTGGGGTGCGGGGAGGCCGCCGCCGCCGCTCCGCCACGTCCGGCCGCCGGCGTCCCCGCTGGAAGAGAGAATGGAGAGGTGACCGGGGAGGGTCAGTCCCCCGGCCCCTGTCCCCTCCGACTCCTGAAACCCCGGCCCCGCGCGGCGTCCCCTCTCGCCGCCCATCAGGCACGCCGGGCCCCCGCACAGGAGCGGCCCCCGCGGACCCACCGGGCACCTTGGGGCACCGGGCCCCAGCACCTGCGGCGTGAAACCGGCTCGGACTCACCGCCCAGCGCCGGGACTGACGCAGCTCGGATCCTCACCCAAGTCTACGCGAACGCCTGAGTGCGTTCCCGCGGTGACGCGCATCGATCCTCCGACGCGCGTGCCCGCCGGGAGCCCGCTCCCAGCCCGCCGCCGTCAGGGGTCCCGCCTCGCGCTCACGCTCCAACCCGCAGATCCGGTGACCCGCGAACCTGGCAGGGCCGGGCCTCACCTCGCCGAGGCAGCCGCCCCCCAGGCCGTAGCGGCTTTTCAGGCGCTCCACCACCAGATCTTGCCCTGGCGGCTTCACGACCCTCGGCTCCATGGCCACGACCGACGTCGTCTCCCTGGCAACAGCGCGCGGCGGGGCGGGGCTGCGCGGAGAATATGCGCCGTGACGCACGACATGCCCTGCCCCCGGCAGGGACCCTGACTCGTTTCCTGGGGAACAGAGCTCGGACTCGTGGAGGGGCGGGCGTTGCGGATGAGTGTTAAGACGCTCGTATACCCGGACTCCCGCATGCCGTCGGCGCGAACGCGGTTGGGCCCGGTTGCGGGGGTTTGTACGTGTTTGCGGCCCGTGGGGGCGAGATGCGAGCTGGCGTGCGGGGTCATCGTTTCCTTTCCTTCCTGAGGGTCGCGGGCGTTCCGCTGGGGTCGGGTCGAGGCGCCATCCGGGTGCATCTTTCTCGTACGCAGCTCAGACTTGACCTGGCTGGAGAAGTTGGTTTCGGCCTGAGCATTCGTTTCCAAACCTGGGTCCACAGCTGTAATGGTTCAGGGCGCCTCGGAGTCTCCCGTAGCCCAGAAGCCCCCAGGCGCTTGCTGTCACCTGGGAAGCGCCCCGAAACCACGGAGAAGCGGAGCCCTCAGGACCGGCGCGCACGCACCGCCCCCCCCCCCCCAGCCCCGCAACACACACACACACACACACAGTCGGGGGTCAAGGACCCCACCTCGGGCGTTGAGCAGGTGCTGGCCCAGGACAGCCTGTCTCCAGACCCCAAACAGCGCGACAGCCCCGCAGTCCGAGTACACCGCTCCTGCAGGGCCTGCGACGATGTGCACAACGTGCTCGGGGGACTCCAAGGTCCTACACTGAGTAGGCTGAGGAGAGCGTCCCCCTTGTCCAACTTTTTCCACTAGCCATTTCCAAGTGAGTGTTCAGTATATACCCCACTTGAAAACAGTTCTTTCTTTGGGAGTTCTGGTAATTAGGTGGCAGTCTGAGTTTACAGATACTTAATTATTCTCTCTTTGGTTCCAGAATGAACAAACGATTAGATGCACAAGGAATGAATTTTTTAAATATCATGGCTGTTAACAATTGTCACTTTATTTTTGCTACAAAATTCACCAGAAAAAGGTACTGCAACAGTCTAGTATAAAGCAAATTTTTAACCAAAGAACATGGTATAGACCTGTTTAAAATACTCATACTTTATCACAATAACTGCAAGGAAAAATTCAAGTTCTATCAGAACCAATGCAGTTTGAGGTAGTAGAAACAGATGACAGAAAGGTTTTTTAAAAAATCTAATTACTCAACTTAAAATGTAAAAATTAATTTAATACCTTTGAAAGGGCACAGGAAGCTACATATCATTTTAAGGAAAAAAGGTACTCTGCTTAAAAGATAATTTAACTATACAGGAGGTGCAAGAATTTATAGAAGAGCACTTTGGTTAAGTCTCTGCCCTCTGTGGCTCTACCCATTTACAAGTGAATCTCTGTTCATAACTGAACACACCAATAGTTAAAATTACCAAATATAGTCCCAATCTGAAATAAAAATTATCCAAGTCATGGTCCCTTTATTCAAACAGTAAGTATATTCATGCAGGAAGTCTAATATCTTAAAAGGAACTAAAATTAAATTGCATATATCATATTCTTTCAATAGTTTGAGAAGGTCTATTGCTTTTAACAAGATTAGTATTCCATTTTAATACAAATATGTCAGGAGTACATAAACACAAGTACACCTGAAAATACACCAGTGTTTAAACTTTTATTTCATACCATGCAAGGTCAATTATAACACATTAGAAAGTGACAACAGCTATAAGCTGCAATTTTACATTTGTACATTGGAAACGTCCATTTTCAAAAGCTGAACATAATTACCATGTTGTCAAAACAGCTAGGCCTCGATTCAACTTTTATACAGGTAAAATTTACTATGGAAAACAATGATTTTATATCTGTCCACATTCTGTGATGATAATTCTTCGACTAACAGACCCTTGAGGAGAACCAAATGATTCAATCTTTTTCACAGTATCCATACCATCTTTAACAAACCCAAATACTACATGCTTAAAGTCCAAATGTTCTGCTTTTTTCAGTATTATGAAAAATTGAGAATTATTGGTGTTCTGGCCTCGACTGGCCATCGATAGTAAACCAGGACCTGTATGTTTCACATCAAAATTTTCATCTTCAAATTTATCTCCATAAATGGACCGTCCTCCTGTTCCATCATGTTTTGTGATATCTCCCCCCTGAAAAAAAGATTTCAATTAACAGGAATCCCAAATAAAACATTATAATACATACAGAACTAACCACTGGAGGGTAGGTATTAAATACCCAGCTTCTCTGAGAATATAGTTTGAAAACTAAGAAATTTGTGAAAGGAAAAAAAAATGAAAAGATCTTTTCCCACCCTTAATTTCTATAAGGTTCAAGGCATTAGAAATATGAACCCTTTTAGGCTGCAAGTTCTTGTGGGGATAGAAGCTGGGGGTGTGGAAAAGCTAAAGTCTACAATTACAGGTAAGGAAAAACACTCAGATTTCCCACACTTGTGTGCTGCACTTGTCTAGACCCTGTTGGGATGCACACTTAAAAGACTTACTTGGCAAACAACATCTGGAATCACTCTGTGGAATATGGAGCTCTTGAAACCAAAGCCCTTCTCTCCAGTGCACAGTGCTCTGAAGTTCTCAGCAGTTTTAGGAACAATGTTTGAAAATAATTCCATGGTTATACGTCCCAGGGGCTCATCATCTGCACAAATGTCAAAGAACACCACAGGATTTGTCTCCTTTGAGAACTCTGCTGTCAGTGATAACTGTCCTTTCTGGGGTTTCAATAAATTCTGTTGACATTCTTCAAATTTTTTCTTGAAACAATCAGCCATTTCTTTAGTTTTAAATCTCACTGCAAGCTGTTCCACTTTGGCTTCTCCATCTGTTAAACAACAAACAACACAGTGACCTTAGTGTTAAAATAACTGTTAAAAAATTGTTTTATATATTTGCAGTCAATGTAGAAAAGTCAAAAAACTAGAAAGTAGCACTGAGTGCAGAGCTCACCGGCATAATCTGAGGCAGTCCAAACTAAAGCGTTGTTGGAAACATTCAAGGGTTTCAGTTCCATCGTCTTGGTGATGACGTGGTTCGCACACACTTTGAACACCTGGTCTCTTCTCATCAGAATCCGATAGTAATTCTTCACAGTGTGCCAGAGGATCTTCATGTCTCCAACCCCACGCTCCTTCCACTGACTGGCCTCTCGATCCCACCTGTAAAGTTTGGCTCTCTCTTTAAATAAAATTTCTTCATCTTCTTCTCCAGATTTCACTTCTACCTGTGACAGGAGATGAAATTACCTATAAGCTGCTACTTATAAAATACTCATAACAAATTCCAAAGATCCAAATTCCTTAACACACTGACATGAACAGAATTTGAAAAGAGTTAACATCCTAGGGTTACTAATACAGCAGATTTGGATGAGGCAGGAAAGATTTGTCATTAAATGTTTTCTTTGTACTTATTAACATTCTTCCTCTTTTTGGAAGTCAAATACAATCTTTTACAGGAGAGAAGAGGTTTAAAAAAAAATCTTGTTTTTCAAGAAAAATACTATCTACTGATTGAGGCTGAAACTGATAAAAATAATTTGCCTAAAATAACATTCTTGTCTAGAAAAAGTACAATATACTTTTTATTGAAAGGACTGTGGCAAATGTGAGCTTAAATAGGTTTTTAATTTTTTGCCCTTTCAATTATGTTATTAAAAACAAACAGGAAAAAATTAAATTCTTCCCAACAATTTCACACAGAATTTACCAAATAACATTTGTATGTAAATTTTTTTTACAAGGACGATTTACATTTTAAGACTGAACTTGCAATAAAACCTTCCATTTGCAACGGTCAATGTTCTGAAAGAAGTTGGTCAAACAAAGGTCAGCCCTACAAATCAAGCCCATGTCAAGTTTTAAGTTTTAAAATGTGAAGTTAGTTAGTATAAGGTTTTTACTCTTTAATATTTACCTCTGGTAGTGACACTATTGGTTCAAAATGGATATCTTCATTATGAACTACCTCTTCATCACTACCATCTTCAGCTTCGCCAACTTTACTGGTTGACTGTGATCCAAACACCGCTGCTCCAGTATTTGCCCACTGGAAATTTTTATCTGATGAATAAATTAGGATATTTAAACAGTGATATCTATTTTAATAAGCTTTTAATTCCCGTTAGAGTACTTTATGAATGAATCTAATTTCCAACGATGGGACATACCTCTAATTAAAATGCTTAAAACTGTATTCTCCTGGCAAGTTAAGCTCTAGTGGTGAGCACAAAGGATGTGTAGTAACATTTATGCCCGGGTGTACAGACAGGGTTGTCTAAGCCTTACTGACACTGAACTTTCAGTAATGAAGCAGGTTCTTCATTCAAAGTACATCCTTTGAAAGGTGAAAACCCAGCTCAGCTCCAAGGGTAGTTTATTTCATAAAACATTCTATCACATGAAAAAAGTAACTTTAGAGCCTAAGAATGTTCTCCAAGAGGCCAAATCTGCTACTTTCAAAGCAGATTGAATATAAGTTGGTAACTTCTCCACCTCAGCTCTCTTCTAAGGTAACTGGAGTGAGAGCTTCAACTTCTTGCCCAGGTGGCAATGGTGGCCCCAGGAGCAGCTCACTGACGCCACCCCCACCCCACCCTCTCTCAAGCAAAACCAGGCTTAATGGGTGAAAAGGCTCCCCACTCCTATGCAGAGGAACAAAGACTTTTCTCTCCCTCAAACCCTAGAGGAGGTGAACACTAAATGCTGTTTTTTCCACATCTTAACTGTGACAACCCAGCCTGCTAATATTAATACATTCCCCACTATCTTAGAGGAAGGAAACCTCTCAACTCTTCATCGCTATGCTGACTGACAAACCACTGCTCTCTAATCCTACATCTGATCCAAAACTCGGGAGAAGGCAAAAATTGTCACGTATCAGTTAAAAACTCAGCACCTTGAAGAAAGAACAAAATGAGTGTCTAATGAAACAGTAAATTCTTCTAAGACAGGTT